GCCTTCCTGCCGCGTTGGCAAGCCACCTTCAACCTGCCCCGGAGGCCGAATTGCTAGGTTGTTCGGAAGTGCCACAATGCATCCTGCTATATCGAGTTTGCCTTGCCATTGTAATCTTGTTGTTCCTTTTTCTAAGTTTGACACGATCCAAACCATAGAACTATCTTCTTTGGTGCATCACCACGTTACGTTTGGTATCTCAACCTCACCCTTCGTGGCCTCGCCTTCAACGCCCTCATTGCTTAGGTTGCCATCTCTGAAGAAGAGTATGGCCTTGAAACCAAAAGCATTCAGTCGGATGGAGCTCTTGCATACTAGTCAATTGCGTCAGGGAGCACCATTCATAATGAAGCATCAACAACCTATCAGAATGAGAACAGTGGGATGGAAGTGTGGGGTACAAATAGCTAACCCTACTGTACTCCCTACAGCATGCCTCGCTATAGCCTAGCACAAATAAACATATATAGTTTGACTCATCCCCATAGGCTAAGTGAGGGATAGCAAGAGAGAGCAAGAACAACAAATGACCACAAGACCAGTCAAGAGAAGAAACAAAACAATGCTCAGGGTGGATCTCAAGATAACCACACAGTCCGAGCACAAGCAATCGGACACAAGGCCAGTTCACATGCCGATTTATAAAAGCAAACGCAATCAATGATCACAACCTAGCGACTGTGCAAATGCAGGTATAGATATATATTAAAGTAAAGCAAGTACATTATGAGATCAAGAGGCAAGCAAGTGAGGCAGAGTAGGCACAAGTCCAAGAGCAGTGCGATAACGCCGATGATCACTAGGCCCAAGGGCCTGAGTAAAGATATCAACAGTGTTGGCCGCAGAGGTCACGTAGACAACGCAAACGTGACCACGCTGCTGCAACTCTTGCAGCAGAAGTAACAAAAGGTAATGTGCTTCGTTCTGCTCTCGAGTCTCTGCTCCTCACACAAGAAAATCATGGCCTTGTTGTCAGCGAAGAGAACTGGTGTAGAATGAGGATGCTCACCCAAGTTGGTAAGCAAGTAGGTCAGCCAACGTAACTCCAGTGCAGCCATGTGTCAAACCATAATTGTTATAGTTTGTAATGTTTAGTCTAGGTGGTGTATACCATTGTTAGTGCCGGAGTTAGATTTGCTATATCTACCCTTGTACTTGCTCATTCTAGTCATTCATTCTCTTGTTGAGTCTTTAACATGGTATCGAGCGTAGTTCGATCCGATGGGCCCACCGCCTAGCACCCCGCCCTAGCCCGCTCGCACCCTATCGCCCCGTTCGTGCCTTAGACAACCCAACCCCCCCTCCCCTCCCCTCCCCCCCCCCCCCTCCCCCCTCCCTTGCGGGCCCCCTGAATCGTACGGGCGCCCCGTCGCCCTGCAGTCCGCCAGCCCCGTACGCCCCGTCGCCCTGCAGCCCCGTCACCCTGCAGACCCCCGTAGTCCGGAAGCGCCGTCGCCCTGCAGTCCGCCAACCCTGTACGCCCCAGCTTAAGCTGCCGCCAGCGCACCAACAGCAGCTTAGGCTGCCGCCAGCAGCATAGGCTGCTGCGAGCAGCACCAGCAGCAGCATAGGCTGCAGCCAGCAAGCGCCAACAGCTACCCACCAGCGGTTTTCCACAGCACTAGACCGTACCAGACCGTACTTGGCAGCTCCTCATCGCTCCCAACCGCACTAGACCGCACCCGAACGATCATAGCCGCTTCCCACCGCACCCAACTACTTCTAGCCATTTTCCTCCGCATTAGACCGCACCAAACCGTACCAGCTGCTCCTCACCGCACCCAACCGCACTAGACCGCACCCATTCACACCCGACCGTTCATAGCCGCTTCCCAATCGTCCCGACTACCTTTAGCCATTTTCCATAGCACAAGACCGCACCAGACTGTACCCGACCGCTCCTAGCTGCTCCCCACCATGCTCGGCCGTCTCTAGCGCCTATCATGGTGTTTGCTAGTGTTCCGCAGCAGTAGCAGGGCCAGCCGCAGCGACAGCAGCCACATCACTCCCGACAGTGGGGACCTGAGGGTCCTAGGAGTACCGGCCCCAGCAGCGGCTCGGTTAGCAGGGGGCGCGATGTCGGTCCCTGCGGGTACCGGATTCTGACTGGCCATGGTGCCGGCACTACCTGCTCGTGTCCTGACCACTCCGCGTCCCGCTGCTACCGTCGCCTCACCTTCACCGTGAGCGTTTTGGTGCTGACGCGATTCCACCGCACTGGCCTTCAAATCTTCGCCAGGGTACTGTTGGCCTAGTTGAGTCGCACCTACCTAGTCTAAGACATTTCCCGACTGCATGAGTAGGGCGTGTGTTTCCAGTCTTGGTGCGTGTCAAGTTTCTAGCTTAGGTGCCTCTCAGGGCCTTTGTGTGGGAGTTGCAGCTACTGCTAGCCTAGTACCAGCCTTTATCGCTGACTCGGGTACGACCTCAGCAACTGGGCCGCTTTCCTTCACCCTCGACTCTCGGGCTTCTAGCTGTTTCTTCCGCGACTGCACCGACCTTACGCCGCTGCGCACTCCAGTCATTGTCACCTTAGCTGACTCCTCAGGGGGACCTGTCGTTGCCCACAGCAACACCACTCTCTCGTGTCCGGCGGCACCCTCTACGGACCTCACTGGTTTCTACACCCCCTCGTTCTCCAGGAACTTGGTGGGTGCTAGTCACCTCCACGACCTCGGAGTAGTCACCAATGTCCCTCTGGACGAGCATGTTGCCTCCCGCACAGTCGGTGCCACTGGGGCGCCACTGGCCACTTTTCACAGGGAGCCAGGCTCTGGTCTGTACTCACTTCACACTGGGTCTCACCACACTGGGCCAGGTCAGGTCAGGTCAGATCAGATAGCTGCTGTGTCATGCGACGCTCGGTCACTACACACCTGTCGCTCCTCTGACACCACCGTCTACGTCATCCGTCCTTCCCGCGTCTCAGTATGATGGTACGTCACCGTCTAGTCTCAGGTCTCCTAGAGTCACTCGCCCCATTTCCCCGCTCGCCTACGCCGCCGTGCACTCCTTGCGTCGAGGGTCGGTGGCGTGCTTCCCCTCACTCCTCCTCGTCTCCCCCCACCACGGCTCCCTTAGAGACCCTGCACTTGGACGTCTGTGGCCCCTCCTCTGTCCTTTGCCCACATCAGGAGCGCTACTTCCTGATTGTGGTAGACGACTACACCCGCTACACCACGGTTTTTAGTTTGCGACGGAAGGCCGACGTGCCACCGTCCTAGAGCCGTGGCTATTAGCAAACTGTGGCGCCCAGGGCCTTTGTGGACTCCGTCTACACTCGGACCATGGAGGTGAATTTGTTTTCTCTCGTCTGGAGGCGTTCTGTCAGGGTCAGGGGATCAACCAGCCGTACACGCTACCAGACTCGCCACAGCAGAACGGGGTAGCTGAGCGATGCATTGGCCTCATCATGTAGGTTGCCAGGACCTCTATGTGCCATGCCGGTGCCCCATAGTTCTTGTGGCCTCAAGCAGTTTGCTACGCCGCGCACCAGCTAAACCTGTGGTCCAGTGACGCACGACCATGGGTGACGACGGTCTTCCTTTGGAGAGGTCTATCAACTATCATTGTTATCATTTGCATTTGCTATTCTAGGTGGTTGGCATTGATGTTCAGGGTTGGCTAGGGTTGGCTAGGGTTTGCACATATCTTCCTTGTAGTTTTCATTTCCATCATTCATTATTTAGTTACAACGTTAACATGGTATAGAGCAGTTCGATCCTTTGGGCCCACCGCCCCGCGCTCGCACGTTAGTACCCCGTTACCCTTAATGCCCTGTCACCCCTTAGCGCCCCGCTCCCCCCCGTTGAATCGCGCGCTAGAGAGAGACCCCAGCGGGTCCCCCACATCGCGACCTAGGAAGGCCCCCGCGGGTCCCCCCGAATCGCGAGCTAGAAGGCCCCCGCGGGTCCCCCCAAATTGCGACCTAGGAAGGCCCCCGCGGGCCCCCCAAATCGCGCATTAAAGCTCGCATCTCATAATTCCCCCTTCCAACCAAGTGTTAAACTGTTGGAATCCGGTAACAACAGGAAGTTGTCGCTGAGCACACCAAGGCAAGCGGTGGGTTGGGAAGGTTGGTTTGGAGTTCTCTGAAACTACACCTCGATCTAGGCAAAACCATCTCCCCAGGGAACCAGTGCGGCAAAGTTGGTAACCACATGCATACGACAAAGCACGTTGGGAAACACACCTGCACTCACCAACCTAACAAGAGTACAGATAAACGTGCGACAACAGAGTCATGGTCGCACTCTTCCCCTTGCACACCAAGCGTTTACAAGTGATGGAAATATGAGACACTGGACTCAAAGCATTGACAAAATGCGCAGGTAGTTCAAGTGTTTTACCGTACACATGCCTCTTGTAATTTTTTAGCACCATTGAAAACTAAGTCACGATTAAACTGCAGGAATAGTCCGTGCGCCTATGCACCTGCGCTATTTCCGTGACCTCGCCGCCCTCAACCTGAACACGGGGGCACCATCGAATATATCGTCCGTCCCTTTTCGGGACTCGAAACGGTCCTCACGAAAATCGGCCGTCCAGGCGTCACAATTCATCAACCGCCCACAGGAGGTGAGTAATGGCGGCTCGTAGTAGCACTCGATAGGGACTAGCCAAATGCGGCAATCAGAGGATACCACCAGAATGGCAGGTTTAGGGACCGAATGGGTCACGCGGGCGATGCATGTAGGCTGCTGGTGAGCGCGCATACACCTCCCTTCAAGAAGCGCGCACCATGCAGTAAGCATCGCGCACCTCGCAAGCAGCATAGTGCGACCCGCTATAGGCATCACGCGCCTACTGAGCCTCAGCGCGCGCACGAATGACGGGTTCTGGTGCCTACGTAGCATCTGCGCGCGCACCACTGCACTTCCACGCATTCTCCCTTGCATAAGCGCGCGCACCAGCGGTATAAGTCCAACGCCCGCAGAACATCCATCTGCCCATAAACTGCTAGAAATTCCAAGGAGAGGACAAAGACGGGAAGGAATGTGCTACGACAGGGGAAAGAAGGAGAGGACAGAGGGGGGAAGGAATGTGCTACGATAGGGGAAAGAAGGAGAGGACAGAGGGGGGAAGGAGTGTGCTCTGATAGGGGAAAGAAGGAGAGGACAGAGGGGCGAAGGAATGTGCTACGATAGGGAAAAGGAGAGGACAGAGGGGGGGAAGGAATGTGCTACGATAGGGGAAAGAAGGAGAGGACAGAGGGGGGAAGGAGTGTGCTCTGATAGGGGAAAGAAGGAGAGGACAGAGGGGCGAAGGAATGTGCTACGATAGGGAAAAGGAGAGGACAGAGGGGGGGAAGGAATGTGCTACGATAGGGGAAAGAAGGAGAGGACAGAGGGGAGATGGAAGGTGCTCTGATAGGGGAAAGAAGGAGAGGACAGAGGGGGGAAGGAAGGTGCTCTGATAGGGGAAAGAAGGAGAGGACAGAGGGGGGAAGGAATGTGCTACGATAGGGGAAAGAAGGAGAGGACCGAGGGGAGATGGAAGGTGCTCTGATAGGGGAAAGAAGGAGACGACAGAGGGGGGAAGGAAGGTGCTCTGATAGGGGAACGAAGGCGAGGACAGAGGACGGATGGAAGGTGCTTTGATAGGGGAAAGAAGGAGAGGACAGAGGGGGGAAGGAATGTGCTACGATAGGGGAAAGAAGGAGAGGACAGAGGGGGGATGGAATGTGCTACGATGGGGGAAAGGAGGCGAGGACAGAGGGGGGAAGGAATGTGCTCTGATAGGAGAAAGAAGGAGAGGACAGAGGGGGGAAGGAATGTGCTACGATAGGGGAAAGAAGGAGAGGACAGAGGAGGGAAGGAAGGTGCTCTGATAGGGGAAAGAAGGAGAGGACAGAGGGGGGATGGAAGGTGCTACGATAGGGGAAAGAAGGAGAGGACAGAGGGGGATGGAAGGTGCTCAGATAGGGGAAAGAAGGAGAGGACAGAGGGGGGAAGGGATGTGCTACGATAGGGGAAACAAGGAGAGGACAGAGGGGTGATGGAAGGTGCTCTGATAGGGGAAAGAAGGAGAGGACAGAGGGGGGAAGGAATGTGCTACGATAGGGGAAAGAAGGAGAGGACAGAGGGGGGATGGAAGGTGCTTTGATAGGGGAAAGAAGGAGAGGACAGAGGGGGGAAGGAGGGTCCTCTGATAGGGGAAAGAAGGAGTGGACAGAGCGGGAAAGGAAGGCGCTCTGATAGGGGAACGAAGGCGAGGACAGAGGACAAATGGAAGGTGCTCTGCAAGGGGAAAGAAGGAGAGGACAGAGGGGGGATGGAATGTGCTACGATAGGTGGAAAGGAGGTGCCGTGAGTGGGGGATGGGCGGTGATTGGAGAGGGGGAAGGGAGTGGCTGGCCGGGATGAGATAGGCGGTGTCGGAGGCGGGTAGAGCAATAAGGGGGGACGGATGCGGTAAGGGAGGTGCTGGCAGGGTGGAAGGTAAGAGGGGGAAGAGAGGTGCTTAGTGAGGGGGAAGGGAGGTAAGGCCATCGTGGGAATGGAGGTGCTGTGAGAGGGGGAACGGAAGGTGATTAGCGAGTGCAGCAGGTATGAACTGCAGGTGAGGAATATGCACAAATGCGTCCCCATCCTTCCTGCCTCCATACCCTCCTCTCCAGGTGATTTGTGAGGGGATTTAGGGTGTTGCTGTGAGAAGAGGGAGGGAGGTGATGGGGGATGGTGAAGATGTAAGGAGTGGGAAGGGTGAAGGGAGGTAAGGTCAGAGGGGGGATCGTAGGTGCGATGAGAGGGAGTGGGGAGGTGTGAGAGGGGGAGATAAAACAGGGCAGGTGCTGAGAGAGGGGGAAGGGAGGTGTGCTGAGAGAGGGGGAAGGGAGGTTTAGTTTAGATAACGGTGATAGAGGTGAGGACAAAGGGGGAAGGGAGGTGCTGACAGAGGGGGGAAGGGAGATGCAGTCCTATGGCAACAAGAGAGTTTCTTAGTGAGGGGGGGGGGAGAGATGCGGTGCTATGGCAAAGAGAGAGGTGCTAAGGGAGGGCTTGACAGTGGGGGAAGGGATGCGGGAAGGGACGTGATGGCACGAGGGAAGGTAAGAATGTGAGAGGGGGAAGAGTGGTGCTTAGGGAGGGGGAAGGGAGGTAAGGTTAGAGAATGTGAAAGGAATGTGCGATGAGGGGGGTTGGAGTGAGGTAAAAGGCAGAAGATAGGTATAGTCAGTGGTGGGGTTTGGGGTGGTGACTAGGTACATCTAAAGTGCGGTGACATGTGTCGCGTGTGATGGCCCAACCTAACGTGCATTTCCAGCATTTGTGCCTCTGCAACCCGTCACCATCCCGTCAGGCCATACACCGCAACGCCATCCCTCGTGGACTTTTGACTGGCAGACATTTGCGCATCGTGTTGTAATGGCACCAAGGTGGGTGATACGGGTTGTGTGAGGCTGCGTGTTGCACAATAACAAAATACTAGCATAAAACTATTGACATGTGATCGTAATGGCACGCGAGCCAAGAACAAGGGGGAGACTTTGCAGCAGCAGCTTGAGAACATTATGGGGGGTGTTAAGCAAAGGCCAGTAGGGCTGGGGAAACACACTGTCCTACCTGTAACCATTATGCGATGCGGTTTATCCACACTGATGGGAAGGGAGGCATCGTTTAACGACGTGCTCCACATCCTCATGATTTCGGCCTCCGATGTTGTCGTGAAGCTTATAAATGCAGCAACTGATACTTGTAAGTGTCACATTTTTCCAATTGACCGCCAACCTGCTAACACTTGCAAGCAACCAACTAACATGCCCAACCCTTGATGTTCATGGTATGTGGGAATGGCGCCAAGGTGAAAGAACAGACAAAGTTACAATTGGAAGCACAGCGATCAAGCTTCCTCATGAGCCTACCAGGGAAAAAGGCAGATGAGGCGCAACTGCTCCAGAGGATGCCGCAGTCAGTGGGCGGCTCGTCTATAAGTTCGATACATACCATCTCAACGATGAGGGTGTGCTTGAGCCGGATAATGGACGTGGCCATGGAGGTGACCGTCGCGGACCGGCATATCAAGCACTACACGATGCAAGTATGTCCATGTCAGGATGTGTTTTACGCACCACTTGGTGAGACGTCGAACTAGCATACTGTCTCGTTTGGCCGTTTTTTCAAGTTGTTGCATGTCTCCCTGCACCCATTTGCCCTGGTCAAGTTGAATGCTCACATCACGCAATCCGCCCCGTTTGTAAAATATTAATATATATCCAATTATACATGTGTACCCATATCCCCATATGCCAACAGTAGCTGCAAGAGGACAGCATGATGTGAGTGGGAACGGAGGATCACTTGTTATTGATTCTCCACCCGTGGGATGTGAGACTCTCGTGGAGGAGTTTGCCCCGGAGGAAGGACGTGGGCATGTGGAAGAGGGGACAGAGCTGTTAGAGGGGGATGGCCCCATTGTTGATGGACAAGACGAAAGTGATGGAGCTGGAAGGGCATCCGAGCCCGAGTGCCCGAGCGATGGGGCAGCTGCCTCTACTGCTGCAATCCGACCCCATCTGCCCTGGTCAAGTTGAATGCTCACATCACGCAATCCACCCAGTTTGTAAAATATTGATCTATATCCAATTATAAATGTGTACCCATATCCCCATAAGCCTCGTATGGACAAGAAACAGTAGCTGCAAGAGGAGAGCATGATGTGAGTGGGAACGGAGGATCACTTGTTATGGATTCTCCACCCGTGGGATGTGAGACTCTCGTGGAGGAGTTTGCCCCGGAGGAAGGAGGAGGGCATGTGGAAGAGGGGACAGAGCTGTTAGAGGGGGATGGCCCCATTGTTGATGGACAAGACGAGGGTGATGGAGTTGGAAGGGCATCCGAGCCCGATTGCCCGAGCGATGGGGCAGCTGCCTCTACTGCCGCAATACGACCCCATCTTGATAGGTCAGTGTTTTTTGTTAGATTAGAGGAATGTGTGGCCTCGTTCCTAAGCTCTCATGCGTTGTGTGGGTATAATGCTAGCAACATCATCCATTCGGTAAACACTCAATAAAAAAAGGCATGACCGATACACGACTCACCATCTTTCCCCGCATTTACTCTTTGACCCCATTACAACTTAACAGCGGTACGTGCTGGAGCACCCCTCACAAGGTCTCTCGCTCGTTCCTGGCCTCAGCCGGCCAACGCTGCCGCAACTAGGCTCAAAGGGGCGGTATGTCTATTAGACCCCATCGTCTTGCTACAATTCTTCATGCGTCTGGGAGTAGTCTGCTGTCAAGTGACCTCGTGTAAGGGTTCGTTAATTGTGCGATCGTGCAAGGTGTCGTGGGCGACGTTGGAGGTCTTGTGGGTATGTGATATATGTGGCAAGACTATCCAGTTTTGGTCTACTAAAAGGGGAAAAGTCCCAGGGGTTCAGGCAAACAGGGCCCAAAGACCTCCTTGCTATTCCCGCGGTTTTTGGGAGCATTTGTTATGGCGGGAATAGGCTTCCAACAGCCGTCAGAGGTTAATCGAACACTCGGGTTCAAGTTTATAGGAAGGGAGACTTTCTATCGTTACATGCGACGACCGTATGGTTTGTGGGAGGCTATCATCGTCCATGGGGAAGAGAGCATGTCTAGAGCCCGACGAGAGATGCAGCTGCGCAAAGATGGAGATGGGTATATTTCCGTGGACGGTCGTTGTCACATGCACGGGAGGTGCAGTGGTGCACAGTCACTTTCATGGATCCACGGTCACGGAAAATGTTGTTGACTGTCACGGTATGTAAGAAAGAGGAGGGAAAGTCATCGATCGAGCTAGAAGGGGTTGCATTCAAGCTTGGCTTGCAGAAATTGAAGGAGTGGGGCTTCAATGTGACTGGGATCATAAGCAACTATGGAGCTTCATTTAAACAGGCGTTAGTTGGTACGGGAATCAACCATCAGATGGACGTTTGGCACAAAGGTCGAGCATTGATAAGGCTATTTGTGAAAGACTTCGTGGAGGCACAAGTGGGTACTATGACAGTGGATAAGGCCAAGTCATGCTCTGAGCTATGGTTGGTTTCACAGAAAGAGTTGTTGGAGTGGCTGAAGCTAAACGGGGGTGCGGGGAAAGGTGTGAGTTCGCGGTCTCCTAAAAAAACACTTATCAGCCATGTGTGTGAGAAATTGGGGAGGATTCAGTTTGATGAATCGGCAAAGGCTGCTCAGGAATGGGCATTCTTGGAGATGAGGAAGGTGCTGAAAGTTAGGGCGAAGCCGGTAGTTCCACCGGCAAAACGACGAAGGGGCATGGAGCAGGATGGGGGGGTGGAATTCCAGCATGAAGATAGTGGAGGGGGAGAAGAGAACGGCAACGTTGATTCAACACGTCCTGATGTGGGAGCTTCGGGTGGGGAAGCCGACGAGTTCAGTCGGATACTGGGGATCAAGTGGGTCGACGTTGATACACCGTTTGACTTTGAACCGCATCCCACGCATGCCGGACGAGACGGCATTACCCACGATTTCATCAGGGAGTCGGCCGAGTCTATGTGTCTCCTAGAAGACATCAATATTATGACTCGTGGTGAGCTTGTATTCCAAATTTATCAAAACGACAGTTCCACTTAATGGAAGATCATTCGTCCATAATGACTTGCTCATTTTGTTGGGGACATTCATGCGAAGTGGAGCCGGGTCTGGAGATGGGCCGAGATCAACAGCAGGCAAATGAGCATGTGGTGGCGGGGGAGACTGTATTGGCGGGGGAGGCTCGAGTGGCGGGGGAGCCTGGAGTGGTCTGCGAGGGTGGAGCGGTGGGGGAGCCTGGAGTGGCGGGGGAGCCTGGAGTGGCGGGGGAGCCTGGAGTGGCGGGGGAGCCTATAGTGGCGGGCGAGGGTGGAGTGGTGCGGGAGCCTGGAGTGGTGGGGGAGCCTGGATTGGCTGGGAAGCCTGGAGTGGCGGGGGAGAAAGGAGTGGCGAAGGAGCCAGGAGTGACGGGGGAGCCTGGAGTGGCAGGGGAGAAAGGAGTGGCGAAGGAGCCAGGAGTGGCAGGGGAGCCAGGAGTGGCGGGGGAGCCAGAAGTGGCGGGGGAGCCAGGAGTGGCGGGGGATGCTGTTGTGAGTCGTACCCCAAGGTGGCAGGAGAGAAAGACGGGAAAATGGAAACGTGCTGATGAGGGGTGTAGCAGTGACGACACGGAGGGTGAAGAGGCGGATGTGCCTGTTGGTCAGCGCTTCTGCATTCATTTCCATCATTGCATGATGCGGGCTGCAACTAAGGCAGAAGGAGATCATCCAATGACTCCTGAAGAAGTGGCAGATGAGATAGGAGGATGTGGAGATCATTGGGCAGGCATACACATTGGTTGTCAGCGAGATGGTGTGGTCCCACGTTGTGTTAAGGAACGATGGGAGAAGGAGAGTGAACCGGGGTCGGCGACTCACTTGGCGTTCAAGAAGTGGCTGTCTGTCAATTGTGGTCCAGGTCCAATGGCAGCATACGTATTAGGGGCATCAAACTGGCTGAACGAGTCATTTCACTCGTTGATCACGAAGTACACGCCGAAACGTATAGCATTTCTTGGCAGTATGGAGGGAGGCTTGGGTGGCATTGAGTGTGCTTCATTGGAACCACGCGGTGGAGAGGGTTGTCAGGGAGGGGCGAACACGTGTACGCAAGGTAATACGGGTGCGGCGTGGGACGAGAGATAGGGTGCTTGGTCCAATGGATTGGCGTTGGGTGGATGATGTATTGGAGCGATGGGGAAAAATAAGGGAATGTGGGGGAAAAGCAGGGAGCATTGGATCCGAGGAGCAAGGTTTAGGGGAACTGAATGTGGGGGAGGAGGTGGAGGACAAGGCGGAGGACGGGGTGGGGGAGGGCGAAGAGGACGTGGTAGGAGTCGAGGTGGTTCCCGAAGTAGCAGAGGAGGCTGTAGTGAGGTTGGGAGCGCCCCAAGGGGATGAGAACGAGGCGCCTCATATTAGCCCCAAGATGATTTCGCTCCATGCAAAAGACAACGCAACATTCCCTTGCGGTATGGACATATGGTCTCTTGTTGACTACATTTTTGTTCAAAGTTAAACTCTAAATCTGTTATCTCTCTGAGAACGTTTTTTTACCCTCTACAGATTTATGGACTTCACGCATGACCTCGAAACCTAATTTCACTCGGGCATCACCGAATCTGCATGGGGTCGAATAGTAGGTCCTCCAAACACCCACGTACAACCTGCCATCACCTATCGGCACCTCAGTCAGTGCCACTAATATACTGCGTCATTGTTATCTTATTCCCCTGTCCATTCCATATCATCCACGCGTGCCAACGCCTTACCTTCCCCCCTTCGCCATCTCTTCCCTTTCGCCGCTGACCTCACCTCCCGCCATCATCTTCTATCACCTCTCTTCCCCCTTTGCCACCTCCTCTCATCCCCCGTTGCCATCATCAGTCATCTCCTCTTGCCATCACCTCCCATATCCTCTCTTCTCCCCCAGCCATCACATTTCATATAATCAACAATCTTTATCTCAATCCCCCATCCATCCCCTAACATCCCCTCATGTCATCACCTTGCCTCCCCTTCGACCAACTCCTCCCTTTCCCCGCTGACCCCTCCCTCCCGCACACATCTTCCATCACCGCTCATCCTCTCACGGCCATCACCTCCCATTTCCCATTGCAATCATCTCTGAACCCTCTTTGCCATCTAAGGTCATCCACCCTTGACACCTTTTCTCATCTCTCCATGCCATCCCCTCATGCACTTTTCCATATCCCATTTTCTCCCCCAGCCATCACCATTCCTAGGGATGTTAACACCCATTATCAGATTCCCTTCCACCATGTGTTACTACATCCCTTTCCTCCCCTAAGTGCCTTGACGCTTCCTCCCCCTCCCCCCCCGCAAGTGCCACTTCGTGTCTTTCCCCTCTCCCAACCCCAATCACCCCCCACATTCTTATCACGCCCTTGCGGTTACTTTCCATTCCCCCTTCCACCCCCTATCATCTCCATATGCCATCACCTTACCTACCCCCTTCGCCATCTCCCCCCTTTCCCCGCCGCCATCACCTCTTGCAGCGTTGGCGGCAGCTGATTGTTGGGGAGCAGAGAACGCCATTGGTGATAGTGTGGAAGGAGAAAGGGCGATGGCGAGATACGGACCCATGTACGGTTATAGTTTTACAACCACGCAAAACAGATGCTAAGCTAGTTTTAATTACGTGTGGTATCAACTTTGACATGTGGCTTCGTGCTGCTACTATTGACCTGTTTGGGGAGAGTGCGACGCATTGCGCTACATATCAAGGGGGAAAGAATTGCAGAGGCTACGTATGTCTAAGCGTCCACATGGTGGTATAATGCATCACATCAAGCAGGGGTTGTCTGCTTCTGATATAATGATGTAGTGCCACAAGTTTTTAGAACCTTCTTAGAGCAACCTTTGCTACATTCCAGTAGCCTAAACCCTAGCAAACAGATGATAGTACATTATTGTAATGCATGTTTAGTTTGGTGAAATAAGCTTGTGGTAATACACTGAGTATATATTCAAGCGGGTGGTTCATTTTCAAGTAAACGTGATGGCTAGCATTTACTCAGACAATGGTTACAACATGCATATTCACACAACTCGTGACTCTTGTTTCTCGAACATGTTCGCTACCTCCGCGCTCACACCCGGACTGCGCATGGTGAAGTCGATCTCACTGGGGATTGTCCAAGATGTGAACCAGTCTACATCTGCTTGGCTACACCCCACATAACCTTCATCTGAAAGCTCCGGATAAAGTGACCCTATGACAACGTACACAAGCCATGGCAATGTAATGTGTGCAAACGGGTGGTCTCCTAACAGTCTGGAGTACTCGATGTAGCAACGGAAACGGTGATTTTTAGCTACTATAGCTTGCCCATCTGCATCCTCTGTCGTATTCTTTCCAAGACAGATACGCAGGACACTCTCAACAATAACTCTCTCGTCCGTATCACCACTTTCCTGCCCCAGACCGAGCTCATTCATGGCCCACTGTTCAAGCACATAGCTTTGCTTTGGACATTCGATGACAAACTCTGACACGGACCAATATTCCTTAGGATAAAAAAGCTGTGGCGGCAACCCAGTTGGCTGTACCACCCTACGTCGGGTCACCCTTTGAACAGGCCGCCAACTGCTGGCAACCACTGAGCGACCAGGTACACCATTGTTGTTCCTTGCGGCTCGGGATGGGTCGGAAGAGGTTGATCCCGCTTGTCCCTCCATACCCCCCTCGTCATCCTCCTCTCCTTCAACTCCCATCCTAAACCCCAGCCGGACCCGACGACATCGTCAAGAATCCCAGCGATACATCTTCCTTGGACCTGTAGATGAGGACATAGAACGGGGCAGAGGTATTTTTGACCGGGTGTTTAGGTTGGGAAGAGAGCGGGGAAGGGAGGTGATTGAAGAGGATGGCGGGATTCATTCCTTCTCTGCCCTTGCATTCATTCCCTCTCTGCCCTCACCTTCATACCCTCTCTGCATTCACATTAATTCCCTCTCCGCCCTCACATTCATTTTGTATCTGCCCTCACATTCATTCCCTCTCTGCCTTCACATTCATTCCCTCTCTGCCCTCACATCCATTCCCTCTCTGCCCTCGCATTCATTCCATCTCGGCCCTCACATTATATTCCTCTCTGCCCTCACATTAATTCCCTCTCTGCCCTCACCTCACATTGATTCCCTCTATGCCATCACATTCATTCCCTCTCTGCCCTCGCATTCATTTCCTCTCAGCCCTCACATTCATTTCCTCTCTGCCCTCACATTCATTTCCTCTCTGCCCTCACATTCATTCCCTCTCTGCCCTCATATTTATTCTCTGTCTGCCCTCACATTCATTCCCTCTCTGCCCTAACATTCATTTCCTCTCTGCCCTCACAATCATTTCCTCTCTGCCCTCATATTCATACCCCCTCTAAACCCTCACATTCATTCCCTCTCTGCCGCCTCTTCCCCTCCCCCATGCTCTCACCTCCCTCTCGTTTGGGACGACACCTCCCTTCCCCCTCGGACAGCACCTCGATTCCCCCTCCCCATAACCCTCCTGTCGACATATGTTTTATATGTGTTGTTTATGTTAGTCTAGGTGTTACATTTCTACTTCCTTGCATGATTAAGGTTTGCTATATCTAGGGTTGTACTTCACATTTTCTATCAATTCATTCTTATCGTAACATGGTATCAGAGCTAGGTTTCCCCTAGGCGATTTTTCCCCTAGGCGATTTTTCCCCTAGGCGAAATTTCTCTCGATAGTCTATGGGCCCACCACCCGCGCGCCTCGTAGCGACCCGTAGCCCGAAGCGCCCTGCCCCGTAGAGCCCGAGTAGGCCGCGCCCCCCCATCGCCATCGTGCGTCACCCGTTTCTGCCCTGCGCCCCACCCGTTTTTGCCGTGCGTCACTTGGTTTTCTGCCCCGCGCCCCACTCGTTTTACCCCGCGCGTCGCCCCCCAGCCCTCTAGCGCGCAGCAGACGAACGCGCGTAGCTGCGCGCGCAGCCTTAGTCGCACCCGCAGCTCCGCGCTAGTACGTCGCGACCGCACGCACGTGCAGCAACAGCCGCGCGCACGTGCAGCCCACCGTCTTAACCGGCCCCCAGACCTGAAAACCCGCCAATACAGACCTGAAATCCCCCGCCGAACCTGGAAACCCGCCGCCCCAGACCTGAAAACCGCCGCCCCAGACCTGACAACCGCCGCCCCACCTGGAAACCTGCTGCCCCACCCGTTCCAGGCACCTCACCTGGGATCAGCCGCCCCACCCAGTCCTCTCCACCGCATTGAACCGCACAGAACCGCACAGCACTGCACATAACCGCACAGAACCGCACAGAACCGCCGCCTCACCTTCCCCACCCGTAGCCTGCTGCCTTAACAGCTTCCCCACCTGAAACCCGCCTCCCCACGAGCTGCCACACCTGCCGCCAGTAGCCCCAGCCGATTACACTGCCGCCAGCAGCACCAGCAGCAGCAAAGGCTGCCCCCAGCGCGCCAGCAGTAGTGTAGGCTGCCCCCAGCAGAACCAGAAGCAGCATAGGCTGCCGCCAGCGCACCAGCAGCAGCATAGGCTGCCCCCAGCGAACCAGCAGCAGCATAGGCTGCCCCCAGCGCACCAGCAGCAGCTTAGGCTACCGCCAGCGCACCAGCAGCAGCATAGGCTGCCCCCTGGAGAACCAGTAGCAGCCTAGGCTACCCCCCAGCAGAACCAGAAGCAGCACAGGCTGCCCCCAGCGCACCAGCAGCAGCTTAGGCTGCCCCCAGCAGAACCAGCAGCAGCATAGGCTCACATGGCGTGTACTAGGGTTCTACAGCAGTAGGGCCAGCTGCAGCACTCCCGTCAGTGGGGGCTTGCGGGTCCAAAGTGTGGCGCCCCCAGCAGTGGCTCAGCTAGCAGTAGGCGAGACGTCGGCCCCTGCGGGTACCAGGCCCTGACAGGCCCTGGTGCTGGTACTACCTCCTGGAGTCCTGACCACACTACGTCCAGCTGCTACCGTCGACTCGACGACCTCCACCGTGAGCGTTTTGGTCCTCACTCTATTACACCGCACTGACCTTCGCGCCTTCGCCAGCGCACTACTGCACCAGTTGAGTCTCACCTACCTGGTCTAGGACCTTTTCCGGCTGCACGAGTAGAGACCTGTGTTTCTAGTCTTGGTGCGTGTGTTGTTTCCAGTCCAGGCGCCTCTGAGGGTCTTTGTGTAGGAGCTGCAGCTACCACTAGTCTAGCACCAGACTTTGTCGCTGGCTCGGGTGCGATCTCACATACTGCACAGCTTTCCTTCACCCTAGACTCTGGAGCGTCCAACTGCTTCTTTCGCGACTGTACTGACCTCACACCACTACGCACTCCAGTTACTGTCGCTTTGGCTGACCCCAGCGTGGGACCTGTAGTTGCCCACAGCACCACCACTCTTCCGTGTCCAGCGGGTCCCTCTGGGTTTCTCACAGGTTACTACACCCCTTTCGTTCTCCAGGAACCTTGTGGGTGTCAGTCACCTCCACGACCTAGGTGTAGTCACTACTTTCCCAGTGGACGAGCCTGTTGCCTCCTGCACTGTTGGTGCCACTGGGGCGCCTCTGGCCACTTTCCAAAGAGAGCCGGGATCTGGTCTGTACTCACTGCACACTGGGTCCCACCACACTAAGTCAGGTCAGGTCAGGTCAGGTCAGGTAGCTGCTGTGTCGTGCGACTGTCGGTCACTCGCCCACCCGTCAGTCCTCTGGCACCACCGTCTAGGTCACCCGTCGTTCCCACGTCTTAGTAGGATGGTACGTCACCGTCTGGTCTCAGGTCTCCCAGCGTCGCTTGCCCCGCTTCCTCGCTCGCCTGCGCCGCCGTGCACTCCATGCGTCGAGGGTCGGTAGCGCGCCGCCCCTCACTCCTCCTCGTTCCCCCCCACCACGGCTCCCTTCCAGACAATGCACTTGGACGTTTGGGGCCCCTCCCCTGTCCTTGGCCCACGTCAGGAACGCTACTTCCTGATTGTGGTGGACGACTATTCCCGCTACACCACGGTTTTCCCCTTGCGACGGAAGGCCGACGTGCCTACCGTCCTCGAGCCGTGGCTCCTAGCGTGGGGTGGCGCCCAGGGCCTGTGTGGGCTTCGCCTACACTCGGACCGTGGTGGTCAGTTCTCTTCCACTCGCCTAGAGACCTTCTGTCAGGGTCGGGGAGTCATTCAGTCGTACACGCTACCAGCCTCGCCGCAGCAGAACGGGGTAGCCGAGCGTCGCATCGGCCTGGTCATGGAGGTTGCCCGGACCTCCATGTGCCATGCCGGTGCCCCTCAGTTCTTGTGGCCTCAGGCAGTCCGCTACGCCGCGCACCAGCTGAACCAGTGACGCACGGCCACGGGTGACGCCGGTCTCTCTCTGGTCAGGTTTGCAGGGCGTAGCAGCTGACTTCAGCATATGGGGTTGTCTGGCCCACGTTCGCGCCCCTGGCGCGAACAAGTTGTCTCCACGCACTCTTGCCTGCGTCTTTCTTGGGTTCCCTTTGGACGCCTCCAGCTGGGTGTTCTACGACCTGGTCACCTGCGGGTTCTTCGCTCTCAGGACGTCACGTTCGACGAGTCTGTCTGTTACTACAGGAGTCGCCCCCACCGAGGTACTGAGGTCTTTTCCCCCCCGCTGTTCCTCACCCTTGAGCCCCCCCCAGTCGCCCCGGTAGCCCCCCCCTGCTTCGCGTCCTTGTTAGAATAGTAGCTAGAACGAGGAGCCATAGCTAGGGTTTAGCTAGCTAGGCAAGAGAGAATGAGCAAAGGAGGGGTTGCACTAGCAAGCAGGTGGATACATATAGGAAACCCTAAGGGGCCGTACTCACTATAGAGTACCCCACTGCAGGCTAGACAAACTACACATTCTGACACACCCCCATAGTCAAAGTGGGGTATGATCAGCACAACAAGCAGCAGTTTATAGTTCACAAATATAAGCAAAGCTAGAGGCTATCACAGAGGGCTAGTGAGGAGGAGGAGGGACTATGAGAGGAGAGGAGGTAGTGGGCGGCAGCTGAAGCTACTAGCACACGGCGCAACTGGAGCAACTGGCACACGGGCAACTGGAGCAACTGGCACACTGGCAACTGGAGCAACTGGCACACGGGCAACTGGAGTAACTGGCTCCGCGGCTAGACGAGCGGCAGGAGCAACTGACTCTCGGGCGACTGGAGCAACGGGCTCACGGGCGACTGGAGCGACAGGCTCACGGGCGACTGGCGCAACGGTCTCACGGGCGACTGGAGCTACTGGCTTCACGGCGGCCACCCCCCTTCAACCTCCCCCTTTGTCCCAAAACTCCCGTTCACACACCCCTTGCTGCACCCCTAGCTTCACTCCCACGACACCCCCCTAGCACTACTCCCACGGCTCCCACACACCCACCCCCCTCAGCGGCAGCTGCAGCAGTGGGAGACGGAGGAGGAGGAGGAGCAGGGGATGGCTCACACACCCGCCACCCCCATACCTGCCACCCCGCAGTTGCACAAGGGCAGGAAGCGGTAGGGGCGGCTCGCGGGCTGCAGGGGCGGCTCGCGTGGGCTGCAGAGGCGGTTCGCGGGCTGCAGGGGCGGGTCGCGAGCTGCAGGAGGGGCAGCGCGCGGGCCCCCGAGGGCGCCACGACGGGCGACGGGAGGGGGCGACGCGCGGGCCCCCAAGGCGCCGCGACGAGGCGACGAGAGGGGGTGACGCGCGGGCCCCCAAGGCGCCGCGACGAGGCGATGGGAGAGGGCGGCGCGCGGGCCCCCAAGGTGCCGCGACGAGGCGACGGGAGGGGGGGATGCGCGGGCCCCCAAGGCGCCGCGACGAGGCGACGAGAGGGGGGGACGTGCGGGCCCCCAAGGCGCCGCGACGAGGCGACGAGAGGGGGCGGCATGCAGGCCGATGGGGTAGGAAACCGCCGCGCGCCTCGGGGCGCCCGGCGGGCAGAAAACCGCCGCGCGCCCCGAGCGCGCGGCGGGCAGGAAACCGCCATGCGCCCCGAGCGCGTGGCGGGAAGAAAAAAAACGTCGCGCGCCATGGGGCGCGCGACAGAGAGGACAGCAGCGGAAGCAGGTGGGCCCACAGGCCAAGAGCATAACAGCTCTGATACCATGTTAGAATAGTAGCTAGAACGAGGAGCCATAGCTAGGGTTTAGCTAGCTAGGTAAGAGAGAATGAGCAAAGGAGGGGTTGCACTAGCAAGCAGGTGGATACATATAGGAAACCCTAAGGGGCCGTACTCACTATAGAGTACCCCACTGCAGGCTAGACAAACTACACATTCTGACAGTCCTGCCCCCCCCGCAGCGTCCAGTCCCTGTCGTGTCTGGGGGTGCGGGAGGTGCAGTTGCGGAGGGTGAGGGTGCTGGGGCTGCAGGAGCTCGTGGTGTCGGTTCAGGGGGTGCAGTGGGTGTGGGCGTGGAGGTCACTCCTGTGGAGGACACGGCAGCCTCGAGTCGGCGGCCTCGCCCCGCGTCACCCCCCGGATTCCCGGTCGTCCCGCAGTTCCCTCCTCGTTCTCCTCTGCGGCCGGTTGCTGCGGAGCTTGGGGGTGCTCCTACGGGAGGTACTGGAGGCCCCGGGGGTGTCGCTAGTGGAGGTGCTGGTTTTGGGAGTGCTGGAGCTGGAGGCACTGGCACTGTGGCGCTTACACCTCGCACTGTACGTTTCCTGACCCGTGAGCAGCGTCTCCTCCGGTTGGAGAGGGAGGAGTGTGAGCGGTTTGAGAGGGCACAGCAGTAGCAGCAGCAGCAGGAGCAGTAGCAGCAGCAGCAGCAGCACCAGCAGCGGCAGCAGGAGCAGCAGCAGCAGCAGCAACAGCAGGAGAGAGTAGAGGAGGAGTCACAGCAGCAGCACGAGAGGGTAGCGCAGGAGTCCCGGTCGCAGCAGCGGGTGCAGTTGCAGCCGCAGCAGGAGAGGGTAGAGGAGGAGTCACGGCCGCACCAGGAGAGGGTAGAGCAGGAGTCCAGCCCGCAGCAGCAGGTGCAGTTACAGACCCAGCATGAGAGAGTACAGGAGGAGTCACGGCCACACCCGGAGAGGGTAGAGCAGGAGTCCCGCCCGCAGCAGCAGGTACAGTTACAGACCCAGCAGGAGAGAGTACAGGAGGAGTCACGACCGCAGCAGGAGAGGGTAGCGCAGGAGTCCAGCTCGCAGCAGCGGGTGCAGCTGCAGTCGCAGCAGGAGAGGGCAAAGGCGGAGCCACAGGAGCAGCAGCAGGGGCCGGTGCCGTCGCAGCAGACGCCAGAGGAGGCGGAGTAGCAGCGACTGCGACTACACGACCTCCCCGACCCAGCACCTGCACGCTTTGTTCGTGGTCCCCTACCATCCCCTCCTGTTCCCCCTGTTGAGTCCCTTTCCTCGTCCCAGTGGACTCGTCGTTCTCCCCTCAGTCGTGCTGTGTCCCCAGAGCGTCGTCGGTCCCGTTACCGTGCAGACGGTCCGTTCCACCTTGTTCTTCGCTCTCGTGTTCCACCTCCTCCTGTCCTTCTACAGCCCCCCGAGTCGTCCCTCACTGTGCTTCACGACCCGTTGTCCGACTACCTCCATGCCTCCCGTCCTGTCGTCTCCCGTGTTTTGTCCGCGTTGGTCACTCACCCGACTGCACCTCTGTCGTCTGTTTCGACACTTGTTACCACTGTCGCTGGCTTTGCCTCTTCCCACTGCCTTGACTACGCCGCTCACTTGGTGAGTGGCCCTGCTCGTTCTCCGTTCTCTGGGGGTGCTCCTGTTTTTCCCCTAGCGGTCCTCGAGGACAGGCAGTTCGAGCTTGGTTTTCTTGCGGCCGCTGTTCCTCATCTCTGCACTATGCTACTTGCCCTTGAGGGGGATCCAGACGCCCTTGACATCCCGATCCCTCGCACTCACGCCGAGGCGGTCTCGGGACCCTGGGCTTCGTACTGGATACCAGCTGAGGAGGCAGAGATGGCATCTTATAGGTCCACAGGCACTTACGTCGACGCAGTCCCACCACCTGGGACGAACGTCGTCAGTGGCCGATGGCTCTACAAGGTGAAGCGGCCGCCTGGATCACCACTTGTGTTCAAGGCGCGCTATGTGGCAAGAGTCTTCAGTCAGCGAGAGGGGGTGGACTTCTTCCAGACCTTCGCTCCCACCCCGAAGATGAGTACTATTCGGGTGTTGCTGCATATTGCAGCCCAGCGCGACTACGAGTTGCACTCCTTGGACTTCTCCACCGCGTTCCTTCAGGGGAGCCTGCACGAGCAGATCTGGCTGCGTCGCCCGCCTGGCTTCACTGGCTCTTTCCCACCTGGGACCCAATGGCAGCTGCGTCGACCAGTCTACGGTCTGCGTCAGGCTCCACGTGAGTGGCACGACACACTTCGCTCGACCCTTGCAGCGCTTGACTTCTTTCCGTCGTCTGCTGACCCGTCACTGTTCGTTCGCCGTGGCTCGACCCCGTTCTTTGTCCTGGTCTACGTCGACGACCTGGTGTTCGCCACTCCCGACCGACGCGCGCTGGCCTCCGTGAAGGAGGAACTGCAGAGGAGACACACTTGCACTGACCTTGGTAAGCTGCAGCACTACCTTGGCCTGCAGATCACTAGGGACAGGGCAGCTCGCACCATTACGCTGACTCAATCGCATATGGTCGAGCAGATCCTCATGCGGTTTCGCTTCCCGTTCTCCAAGGTACAGCTCACCCCTCTTGGTGTGGATCATGGGCTCACGGCTCCACCTTCGGACGAGTCATTTGAGTCCAGTGGTCCATATCCTGAGCTGGTGGGTTGTCTCATGTACCTGATGACCTGTACTCGCCCAGACCTAGCTTACCCTCTTAGCGTCCTTGTGCGCTTTGTTGCGCCTGGGAGACACCGATCGTCCCACTGGTACGCTGCTAAGTGGGTGGCAAAGTATGTGGCGAGTACATCAGGCATGGGACTTGTCCTTGGAGGGAAGCAGCCAGTTACACTCACAGGTTACTCGGACTCGTCGTGGGCCGACGACACGGAGACGCGTCGGTCTACACAGGGGTACTCCTTTAGCCTCGGGACAGGTGCTGTTTCGTGGCGGTCGACTCGGGCGTCGTCCGTCGCCAGTTCCAGCTGTGAGGCAGAGGTGTACGCTGCGGCCATGGCCGCTCAGGAGCTTCGCTGGCTGTCTTTCCTTCTCACCGACCTTGGTGAGCGGCCTCGCTCTCCCCCAGTTTTGTTCGCCGACAGCAGGTCTGCCGTCCTGTTGTGTGAGGAGCCCCGACTGGTTGGGAAGGCGAAGCACATCCAGCTTCATTTCTTCCTTCTGCGTGAGTTGCAGCAGCATGGCCAGGCACTCGTACGACGTGTGGTCTCTGAGGCCAACACTGCAGATATCTTCACCAAGGCGTTGCCGCCTTGTGATCACCAGCGTTTCTGCACCCAGCTTGGCCTTGTGCGGGCCCGTCCTCACTTGCTTACGTAGATGCTTTGTCCTTATTGTCTTGTACTCTTGCATCTCAATATATTTGCTATATACCTGCATGTGAACTGGCCTTGTGGCTCTTTTGCTTGCTCTTAGACTGTGTGGTGACTTTGAGCTCCACCCTGAGATTTGTCTTGTTCTTGTGGACTGGTCTTGTGACCCTTGCTTGTTCTTGTTCTTGCTGACTGGTCATGTGACCCTTGTTTGCTCTCAGACTGTGTGTGTCCTTGAGACCCACCTTGAGATATGTGTTGTCTTTCCACAGGGTTACCGTCACCTAGACTATGGGGGTGTGTCAACATATATTTTATATGTGTTGTTTAGGTTAATCTAGGTGTTACATTTCTACTTTCTTGCATGATTAGGGTTTGCTATTTCTAGGGTTGTACTTCACATTTTCTATCAATTCATTCTTATCGTAACACCCCCTTCCCCTCTGGCCGCCTCTTCCCCTCCCCCATGCTCTCACCTCCCTTTCGGTTGGGACGACACCTCCCTTCCCCCTCGGACCGCACCTCGATTCCCTCTCCCCATCACTCCCCTTCCCCTCTGGCCGCCTCTTCCCCCCCCTCATGCTCTCACCTCCCTTTCGGTTGGGACGACACCTCCCTTCCCCCTCGGACCGCACCTCGATTCCCCCTCCCCATCACTCCCCTTCCCCTCTGGCCGCCTCTTCCCCCCCCTCATGCTCTCACCTCCCTTTCGGTTGGGACGACACCTCCTTTCCCCCTCGGACTGCACCTCGATTCCCCCTCCCCATCACTCCCCTTCCCCTCTGGCCGCCTCTTCCCCCCCCTCATGCTCTCACCTCCCTTTCGGTTGGGACGACACCTCCTTTCCCCCTCGGACCGCACCTCGATTCCCCCTCCCCATCACTCCCCTTGCCCTCTGGCCGCCTCTTCCCCTCTCCCATGCTCTCACCTCCCTCTCGGTTGGGATGACACCTCCCTTCCCCCTCGGACCGCACCTCGATTCCCCCTCCCCATCACTCCCCTTCCCCTCTGGCCGCCTCTTCCCCCCCCTCATGCTCTCACCTCCCTCTTGGTTGGGACGAGACACATCCCTTCCCCCTTAGGACAGCACCTACTTTCCCCTCTCCCCTACCCCTCTGGCCGCCTCTTCCGCCCCCCCATGCTCTCACCTCCCTCTCGGTTGGGACGAGACACATCCCTTCCCCCTTAGGACAGCACCTACTTTCCCCCTCCCCATCACTCCCCTTCCCCTCTGGCCGCCTCTTCCCCTCCCCCATGCTCTAACCTCCCTTTCGGTTGGGACGACACCTCCCTTCCCCAATAGGACAGCACCTACTTTCCCCCTCCCCATCACTCCCCTTCCCCTCTGGCCGCCTCTTCCCCTCCCCCATGCTCTCACCTCCCTTTCGGTTGGGACGACACCTCCCTTCCCCCTCGGACCGCACCTCGATTCCCCCTCCCCATCACTCCCCTTGCCCTCTGGCCGCCTCTTCCCCTCCCCCATGCTCTCACCTCCCTCTTGGTTGGGACGACACCTCCCTTCCCCCTTGGACCGCACCTCGATTCCCCCTCCCCATCACTCCCCTTCCCCTCTGGCCGCCTCTTCCCCTCCCCCATGCTCTAACATCCCTTTCGGTTGGGACGACACCTCCCTTCCCCCATAGGACAGCACCTACTTTCCCCCTCCCCATCACTCCCCTTCCCCTCTGGCCGCCTCTTCCCCTCCCCCATGCTCTCACCTCCCTTTCGGTTGGGACGACACCTCCCTTCCCCCTCGGACCGCACCTCGATTCCCCCTCCCCATCACTTCCCTTCCCCTCTGGCCGCCTCTTCCCCTCCCCCATGCTCTAACATCCCTTTCGGTTGGGACGACACCTCCCTTCCCCCATAGGACTGTCAGAGGTCCACTGGTGATCCCCGATTGATCCTAGGGAAGGGTTACAGGCATGTTGGCCTGGGGGGTTATGGGCGCACTGACCCGCTACTTAACAAGCCCTTTTATCCCAATGGTCTAGTGGTTGGGATTCTGACATGGTATCAGAGCGAAGGTCTCGGGTTCGAATCCCAGTGTGTGCACTTCGGGCATCCCAGTGCGGGGGGGTGTCAGAGGTCCACTGGTGATCCCCGATTGATCCTAGGGAAGGGTTACAGGCATGTTGGCCTGGGGGGTTATGGGCGCACTGACCCGCTACTTAACAAGCCCTTTTATCCCAATGGTCTAGTGGTTGGGATTCTGACAAGGACAGCACCTACTTTCCCCCTCCCCATCACTCCCCTTCCCCTCTGGCCGCCTCTTCCCCTCCCCCATGCACTCTCCTCCCTTTCGGTTGGGACGACAACTCCCTTCGCCCTTAGGACAGCACCTCCTTTCCCCCTCCCCATCACTCCCCTTCCCCCCTGGCCGCCTCTTACCCTCCCCCGTGCACTCACCTCCTTCTATTCTCACTCTGTCCGTTTTTTTCTGACATTCTGCCCATTCCTAACATGTTTTCCACATAACATCCCTACCGTAATTCCTCCTTCCTGCTATTTTTCCATGACAACTACTCGCATGCCGCCCTACATACTCTCATTCCGCCCATCACTAATCTCCCTACGCTTATCCCTACGGTAATTTTGACCGTCACACTCTCAATTCGCCATTCCTGCTGTCATTCCGCTCTTCCTCCCCTTGGGATGGCACTAGCTAATACCATTCGGCCCTTCTTCATATCTTTCCATTGCCCTTCCCTCGACACAAGGAGTGCAGGCCGGCGCAGGTGAACGAGGGAGCAACGCAAAGACACGCGGGAGACCTGAGACAAGACGCTGGCTAGCCATGCTGCGGAGGCGTGGGATGGACAAGCGAAAAAGGCGGTGGTGCCACAAGACTGTCGGGTGAGTGAGTGAATGGCAATAGCAAGACGCAGCAACCAGACCGGACACAACAGCCTCTAGGGACGCAGGAACCTGACCGGACTTGGCTACCTAGAGGGACGCAGTAACATGACCGGACTCCGCTACCTGGTGGGACACAGTGTGCAGAACGGAGAGACCTGCGTGGGGCTCCCTGGTAAACGTGGCAAGAAGTGCCTCGGTGGAAGCATCCGTACACATCGCCGTCCACCCATGCGCAAGAAAAGGCGATTGTGATCCCACGGTCCTGAAGGTATCCAACACCCACAAAGTTCCGAGAGAACGAGGGGATGTAGAGACCAGTGAGGAAACCAGAAGGGACAGCCGGGCACGGGAGAGTGGTCGAGCTGCGAGCGACTGCTGGTCCTGAAGTAGGATCAGCCAGGGCAACTGGGACTAGAGCCGAAAGAGGTGTGACAGTGGTGTGGTCGCGAAAGAAGCACTGAGATGCGCCTAAGTCCATAGTGAAGGAGAGCGACGCGACAGCAGTCGTCATGGCTGGACTAGTGACTACTCAAGCACCTACACTTAAAGCACAAGTACCTACACTAGCAACAGGCAAAGGTCCTAAGCTAGGTACACGTACGCCAAGAGATCCATACATGACAGAATAAGCAGCATCCATAGACATATCAAACACAGGGTAACCACTGCGAGACTGATCGGGTCAGATCGGTGGCCTCGACTCAATCCCAAAACGCTCACGGTATAGGTCGTCGAGGCGGCTGTAGCAGCGCTGTGCAGAGTGGTCAGGACGCCAGCAGGTAGTGCCAGCACCAGGGTTAGCCAAGATCCGGTACTAGCAGGGGCTGACGTAGCAGCCACCGCGACAAGCCCCCCAGCTGGCAGGACCGCTGCTGCAGCTAACGGTACCTGAACCACCATGCCCCCACTGCTGCTGAGGGCGCCACTGCTGCTGAGGGCGCCAATGCTGTTGAGGTTCCCATTGCTGAAAATGCCCCTGCTGATGGAGAACTCTAGTGGACGCCATGGGAAAGCTAGCAGTGTGTAGGAGCGGCAGGCTAAGAGTGACTGGAGCTAGGAGCAAGGAGTGAGAATAGCTAGGAGCGCCAGTTGAAACTAGGCGAGGAACGGCCGGAGCACGGAGCAAACTGAGCTGGGAGCGAGGAGCGAGAACAGCTAGGAGCGCTAGGTGAAACTAGGCGAGGAACGGCCGGAGCACTGAGCAAACTGAGCTAGAAGCGACTAGAATGAGGAACGGCTGGAGTGAGGCACGACCGGAGCGAGAAACGTCAGGCTAGAAACTATGGGCTCGAGGAGCGGCTGGAGCGAGGAGCGAGAATAGTTAGGAGCGCCAGGTGAAACTAGGCGAGGAACAGCCCGAGCACGGAGCAAACTGAGCTGGGAGCGTCAGGAGCTGGGAGCGAGGAGTGAACCGTCCCTACGAGAGAGAAAAGCGGCTGCCAGGCGCTGATGGTGAAACCCACTAATAGCATAGGACTAGGTAGGGAGGTGTGGGCGGTAAGGAGGGTATGAGGGGCTGTGGGGCGGTTAGGAGGGGCTGTGGGGCGAGCGGTCTGGCCAGGGCGTGCGTTTCTGGCTAGGGTCACGCGCTCTGACTGGGGCACGCGCGTTCGGGGCGTGCGCTGCTGGCTGGGGCGCGCGCTACTGGCTGGGGCGCACGGTTTTGTCTGGGGCGCACGGTTCTGGCTGGCGCGCGCGTTTCTGGCCAGGGCGCGCGTTTCTGGCTAGGGCCCGCGTTCTGGCTAGAGGCGCGTGCTCTGGATGGGGCGCGCTTGTTCGTTGGGGCGTGCGCTGCTGGCCGAAGTGCGCGCTAGTGGCTGGGGCGCGCGCTACTGGCTGGGGCGCGCGCTACTGGCCGGGGCGCGCGGTTCTGGCTGGGGCGCGCGTTTCTGGCTGGGGCGCGCGTTCTGGCTAGAGGCGCACGCTCTGGCTGAGGCGCGCGCGTTTGCTGGGGCGTGCGCTGCTTGCCGGGGCGCGCACTACTGGCTGGGGCGCGGGCTCTAGCTAGGGGCGGCGCTCTGGCTAGGGCGCGCGCGTTCTGGCTGGGGCAAGAGGGCGGAAACTAGGGCGCGAGGCGCCACGGAGGAGCGGACGGAGCGAGCTAGGCTGGGCAAGGCGAGGGTAGGCTAAGGATCGAACAATTGATACCATCTTAGAAGGTGAACACAACGGAATGGTGTTGATTAGGGAAGGAGGAGGGTACAAATGCAAACCCTAACAACCTATACTCTCTAATGCATGCATCACTGCAGCCTATACAAAAATATATGTTTGACATGTATATCAGAAAATCAAACCATTTTGGTCTGAAAAAATTGTCCCTGGGCAGGGCCTCAGATTCGTTTTTGGCCTGTGTGATTCGTCAGACTAGTCTACAGTTTTAGTCTGAAATTCTCTGAGTTGGTGTAAAAAAAAAAGCTGAAATTTTAGAATGTCCTTAAAAAAAGGTCTGAACATTCAGAATCTAGCTCACTGAGAAGTTTGATTGTGATTTTAAGTGTGTTTTCTGTTGGCCTTGGTTAATCTACATTAGACTGGCGTACAAAGTACAAACATACTACTGCTTAGTATTCACAGCTTTAACTACCTTACTACTTCTACATCCTACCTATCTCTAAGTTGTCCTAATCATCAAATCCATCGTCATCATCACTGTCAGATGCATCATTATCATCTCCTAGGTCTACTACTTCCATCACTTCATCTGCCTCCTTGCCCTTGTTCTGTTGCTTTCCTGCAGGCGGGAGTGGAGCGTTGTTGTGGGGCTTGCGCTTCTTGTAGCTCCTCTAGACGGTTAGAATCTCATCCCACTTGGGCTCGTAATCCAAGAGACTCATGCACATGAGGTCTCCAAGGCGTGCATCCTTCAGCGAGCCTCTCTGCCACGACTTGATGATGTTCTGCCTGGAGAACCCCCGCTCGCACTCCACGGTGCTCAGCGGCAGTACAGCTACCGCCACCCACAAAAGCACGAGGTTGGGGTAGTTGTCCCACCAGTCGGGTGTCTTGAGCATGGCAGTGAGCCTCGCGTAGAAGCTGCGCTCGCTCTTGGTAGATGCTGCAAGCACCGAGGTGAACATGCGCAGCTCCTTCTCTGCACGTCGCTTGTTGATTCCTGGCAGGGTAGGGAAAAGTATAACAAAGGAACAAACTGTACAAACTGAGAACACAAATACAAACAGACATTGAAGCATCGCATGTAATACAAACTGAGTAATGATGAAGCAGGATACCAAAACCACACAACATTAGGCTTACCTGGCAGGATCTCTTTCGTCAGGTCGGCTTTGAACAGAGTCAGAAGCGACTGAAGCCACTCAAGGCACCTGCGGTTCCTCTCTCCTCGATCCAGCAGGTACTCGTCGGGGATGAAAAGCTTTGTCCCAGACATGCCATCCAGGTCGCCAAGCCAATCCAGTTGGTAGACGAACACGCAGCCATCGCGGGTCCCGGGCCCTTCGAAATCCTCCAGCTCGTCCTCATGCAGCCTGAAGGTGAACCGTGCATGTCGGCCGTCCGAGTCAATCCCTTCGTCTTTCACCTCCTGGTTTCCTCCTGGCCCATGGCGCGCGATGAAGGGGGACAGCAGCTCACTGACGCCGCCACCGAAGTCGTCGCCGCAATCGACGTAGCGGCTCTCGATGTGGGACGTTGTGCGCTTGATCTGCGCATGCACGCCGGCATAGTCAAGCTGGACAGAAACAAGAGGGAAGGTAGTTAGTGGCTGATGACGGTAAACTGAGAGGAGTCTAGCAGAATGACCACTATAACAAAACAACATTGACAGAAAACCATTATCAGAAAGCTCACCTCCTTGTGCTGGAACGCCATGTTCATGATGTTGAGCTGCTCAAGCACATCAGCAATGAAAAAAATGAAGAAATTAAACCTGTAGCTTGTCACGAGGGCATACAGCTTCGCGTCCCACTCTTTCAGCATCACGATGAGAGCCGCGGCGACAAGCCTGAGCACTGCGTCGCCCCGCGACAGCTAACAGACGGCATGAATGCCTTGCATCTCAAGAGAAGTGGATGCGGAAACTTCCTGGAGGCCCATGAAGCGCCGGTGCCATGGCCCCGACCGGCCGAGATGCTCTGCAACGGTGCAAATCACCGTGTCAATGACGTTGAAGCCAGGAATCTTCTCGGCGGCTGTTCTAACCGCCAGTGCCTCCCTGTACAACAAGGCATAAACATCAGTACATCGACAGAGTCAACAACCGCAAAAGAGGCACGGCATGATTATGCACATACACTGGCATACCTGTGCGCGATGCAGTGGGATGACACCAAATGGGGGATGCGCAGGCGGAGCCGTGTCGTGAGGCCAGACTTGCTGCCCATCATGACGTTGGCACAATCGGTGCTGATGCCTGCAATGCGCTGAAGGTCGATCCCGACTGCCTGCAGGTGTGACAAAAGAACGCTCAGAAGAGAAGCTGCGTCGGCCTTCTCCACGGTGAGTAACGCCATGAACTCCGTGACGAGCTTGTTGTCACGGATGAAGGTGATGAAGTGGATCAGGTGCTTCCCGCTGCACCTATCTGTGCTCTCGTCAATCGAGATGCCGACAAAGGGCGACGCCAGCACATGTTCCAGCTGGGTTGTCTGGAGCCATGTCGCAGTCGCTTACGTCAGCTCTCTGAAGCCGTATCTACACAGGGAAACAATAGTGAGTAAATTACTATAGTGAACAACATTGAAACACCGATGAATAGTAAATAGCATACGACAATTGCACTCGTGGTGTAGTAGGTTCTGTACCCCTTCTTTGGGAAGCCAGGCACGCCCTTCTCCGCCAGGTAACGCACCAGTTTCACCCACATCCCCATGGGCGCGTCGGACCTGCTAATGAACAGCAACGAGTCGAGAAGGGCGACGACGCCCCGCTGCTTGTGCTTCGCAGCCGCTCCGTCAACCGTGGCGCGATGTTGGTCGATCTGCGGCTGCCTCGCACCGCACTCCTGCATAGCTATCAATCTCGCCATCGCCAGCTTGTGCTTCGCCGTGCCAGCGTGCTTACGAAACGACTGGGTCTGCAAGTTCGTGGCGCCTTTCCCGCGCCTCCCACACTTGCCTGTGTCGCCAGAATGAGCTGCACAAACAGTACACTTGAACGCAAGCAACCCCGAGGAGGTTTTAGTGATCTGAATCCAGGGGAAACGTGCTTGCCACTGACTGTACTTGTCAATCGCATCATCGTAGAGTCCTTCAATGAGCTAGGCCAGGTTTATGGTGAGGCGAGGACGCGGGCGCTCAGAGGACCCGGGAGCGTTGTTGACGTCGGCAGACGACGATGAAGGCTTGGCGAAGCTCAAGGTCGCCTGCTTGAGCCGGATGGTGCGCGCCGTGGTCTGAGTGGGATGGTGCGAGGCCGAAACGACAATTGGTTCCGTAGCTGTCTCTGCCACAGGGTCGGGAGACATTGAGTTAACGGGTGCTAGAGGTTCCTTCTGGGTGGGGATCGTATCGGGCGCGGCGCGTGCTGCCTTCTCGAGTGCTAGATGACCGAGCAAGAAATCCAAGCCTGTCCATGCAGGCTCTGAATCTGGGTCGTCATCGCTGGTGGCGGGATTGTCAGGCTCAGCCATGGCGGGGTTCTGAGAGAGCCTGCCGAGCAGGTACGAGAGGTGGTTTTGAGGCTGAACTGGGCACTGGATGGGCCCAGTAAGTTGAAGCTGAGGGGTGTGGATGAAACTCTAGCTCAAAGAGGATGGCCCTATAACCCACTATGGGCCATCCTTGAGTTGGGTGAGTGGTTGCCTAGCATGCACGGCAACGACGAGGCGCGTCTGCCGTGCAATGCTGTTTGGATTGTTTCGTGTGTGTCTGTTGCAGCATCGTGGTACACGATCCTGCCAAAAAGACCAATCAATGCTCAGGGTGTCCGCCAACAGGTCATGTTGGCACCGTCTGCTTGCCATCACCTTTACGTGGGTGGCTATTGCAGCATCTTGGACACTGGTGGAGTCCGTGATGGCAAGGTAAAGCTGCCAAACGGACCAATCAATACTCTAACAGGGCGTGAGCTGGAGCTTACGAAGGAAACATCGCGCCGCAGGGCCGCGTCGCCCACGGAACTTGACAGTTGTCACGGATTTCGCGTGATTGACGGGACAGGTACAGGTACCACCGCTAATCCTGGGTGTCGGCGCCAAGGTACATTGAATCAGAGTCGGTATTCGTTTGTACTCTGAATGATCAGTGTACACTCCCAAAAAACTCTGAAATTTCAGAGTCAGCCTATTAAAAAAACTGATTTTTACAGAGGCCTTAAAAATTCTGAATTTCTCAGACTACACTGGAAAAAAATATGAAATATCAGAGTTTTTCATGCAAATCAGAGAAATTTCTGTGACTTCTGAGGGCCTGCCTGGGAAACATTTAGGATAAGGGGGGAAGGTGCACCACCAAAACAAGAAGTATATCTACACTAGGATCTACTGTAGGCAGGTATATAAATGTATACAAATGAATGTCAACTCAACATGGTACCATGGTTTGCAAATAATCACCAAGTTAATTTCAATAATCATAGTCCATTTCAAACTCCGTCTCGTACTCATACTCCTGCAACCACCCTAGCTCCTTCCCCAGCGCATCCATGCGCTTCCTCTGTGCGTCAAAGTCCGTTAGTGGGGTGGTAAATGGGTATATGTACACCACGCGCCCCGCTATAGAGCGGTATAATACATTGTCGTCACGCAATAGCAGCTCGATAGTGTCACGCCCAAACAGGCCGTCTGTTTTGGCCCTTATGTAGTGCCCTCCTGAGAGGTGGAGGATGTGGGAAGAGGCAGAAGGAAAAGTTGTGAAAGTGTTTGTGTGAGTATTTGTGCGGAAGAGTGTATAGATGTGTGTATGTACAGGAGTGAGAGTGTGAGTGCGTGAGTGCGTGTGTGTGTGTGTGTGTGTGCGTGTGTGTGTGTGTGTGTGTGTGTGTGTGTGTCCAAGTGTGTGGGTCTGTGTGTGCGTGTGTGAAAGTGTGCAGGTGCGTGCGTGCGTGTGTGTGTGTGTGCGTACGTGTGTGTGTGTGTGTACGTGTGCGTGCGTGCGTGTGTGTGTGTGTGTGTGTGTGTGTGTGTGTGTGTGTGTGTGTGCGTGCGTGTGTACGCCCATGCAATAGTTGAAATTCAGAGTTCACGGGGTAGGGAAGGGGCGATGGGAGGGAAGGGGAAAGGGAGGGAGGAAAAGAGAAGGGAGGTAAGCAAGGGAGGTAGTGGTGGGACGGGGGGATAGGAGGGAGCGGTAGAAGCATGGGCAGGAGGAGGAAGGGGGTGGCGGCATCTCACCGTCTGTGACATCAACGGACTCCTCAATGACCGGGTTCTTGAGCGCTGAGAGCAGCACTCCCTCCAGCCTCTGTTGCCACCATGCATGCATGCATGTATGTATGTGTGCACACACGTAGACATGGGATGGGTGCATGCACACACATGCACATGCATTCACACATATGCATGCACATAGGTTCACGCACACATGCATGCATGTACACGCGTCCACACATGCCGATGAATGGCAGTGAGAAGGGGAGCAGCCCGGGGCAAGGAATAAGCAAGGATAAGCTTAAATGCACTCTCCCTCATGCCATCCAACACCCTCTCACCACCCATGCAACCAGGAAAGCCGAGGCAGCACTAAGCAGTGGCACAGTCCAGAGCTGGCAGCAAGTAGGCGAGGCCTGGAAGGGTCTTGCTGCAACCGGAGTCTTTTCAGGTAACCGTATCTGCACAGCCCACTCATAACTGGACGGCTGTTGCGGTACTGAGGGAGGGGCCGGCCCAGGGCGGCGAGTAGACAAGGCTGGAAAAGGCACGAACGCAACCGAGTGTCCAGATTCTTTGTATTTGCACAGCCAGCTCATACCTGCACGGCCGTGGAGGTACTGAGGGAGGGCACGGTCCAGGGTGGTGAGTAGGCGAGGCTGAGGGAGGAGGTGGAGACGCAGTTGGGGTTGACCGCCAGGGGGCAGGGGCGGATGCGCCTGATGGGCGAGGGAGGGAGGGTGGGAGGAGCATGGGGGAAACACGGGACAGGCGGCAGGAGCGGGTGCGGAGGGTGGAGACACAGTTAGGATCCACTGCCAGGGGGCAGGGGTGGATGCGAGTGAGGAAGGCGGAAGGGGGAGAGGGGAGAGGGGGAGGGACACAGGCGGGGCAGCATGGCAGACAGTAATCGAGGCTAAGAGTGGGGTGCAGATACGGTGGGGCTCACTGGCAGGGGCAGGGGCGGATGCGACCGAACGGGGGGAGGAGTGGAAACGATGGGAGCAAGGGAATGGGGGAGGAGAGAAGAGGGATTGAAAAAAACAGAAGAGGGTGAGAGAGGAGGTGTTGAGGCGTCTCAAAAACACCCTCTTTTCAGGTGGAGACGTAGGTGTGGAGACGTAGGCGTGGAGACGTCTCAAAACCAATCTTCCATCACTTAGGTGGGCTTGAAGGCCCCTGGGTGGATGTGAGAGGGGACAGGGACAGCTGTAACTGGTGGGGTGGGGGGTGGGATGAGGAAGCGAGAATATTTGGCTGAGGGAGGAGGAAGGGACGTAGGTGGGTTGAAGTTCCCTGCATGGATATGAGAGAGAGAGGGGATAGGGTCGGATGTGACTGGTGGGGGGAAAGGGTCGGATGTGACTGGTGGGGGGATAGGGTCGGATGTGACTGGTGGGGGGATAGGGTCGGATGTGACTGGTGGGGGGAGGGCGGGGAAGCATGGAATAGAGGAGTGGAGGAAAAGGAAGGAAGGAGAGTGTGCTGGGGGGGAAAGAGAGTAAGGAGAAAGGCGGGAGAAGAAGGGGGATAATAGGAGGGCGGGAGCGTGTGACTGAAGACGCCTGAACACTCGATGATTGAGAAACGCGAGAGTGGGAGAGGGGGGAGGAGGACGGGGGGAGGAGGACGGGGGGCGAGGGGAAGAGAAAGGTAGCGTGTGGGTGTGCTGGAAGGAGGAAGGGTTGTGAGTGAGGGGAGGGGGGATTGATAATGGGGAAGAAGGGAGGGAGAGAGGGGGTGTGGAAGGGAGGGGCAGAGGCCACTATAACGAACGGCACAGTACAGTACAGCACACCGCAGGCCCCCCTTGCCACTCCCGCCCAGCCGCCCGTACGCGCCCCTTCCTTTCACACTGCTTCCCTCCCCGCCCGCCCATCAGCCCCCCAGCCTTCCCCCTCACCCGCCCATCCATCCAGCCTTCCCCCTCACCCGCCCATCCATCCAGCCTTCCCCCTCACCCGCCCATCCATCCAGCCTTCCCCCTCACCCGCCCATCCATCCAGCCTTCCCCCTCACCCGCCCATCCATCCAGCCTTCCCCCTCACCCGCCCATCCATCCAGCCTTCCCCCTCACCCGCCCATCCATCCAGCCTTCCCCCTCACCCGCCCATCCATCCAGCCTTCCCCCTCACCCGCCCATCCATCCAGCCTTCCCCCTCACCCGCCCATCCATCCAGCCTTCCCCCTCACCCGCCCATCCATCCAGCTTTCCCCCTCACCCGCCACCAATCAGCCCCCCAGCCTCCCCCCTCACCCGTCCAGCAGCCCCACGTCCTCATCCTGCTCCTCCTGCGCGCGCACATAGGGCGACTGCTCCCCTGCCGCCACCACCGCCACCACCGATGGTTGGGCTGCATGGGAAGAGGGGGCGGGAGGGGAGGTGGGGTGGGAAGAGGATTTGTGAGAGAGAAAGAGTGGAAAGTGGCAATAACAGCCCATCCTGCTCCTCCTGCGCGCGCGCATAGGGGGACTGCTCCGCTGCTGCCACTGCTGGGTGGACTGCGTGGGGCGAGGGGGAGGGAGAGGAGGTGAGATGAGGAGGTGGAGAAGCAGCTATTACCGTTTATCCTGCTCCTCCTGCGCGTGGGCATATGGCGGAGAGGAGGAGGTGAGAGAGGAGTGGGAGGCGGAAATAACAGTTCCTCCTGCTCCTCCTGCGCGTGGGCATATGGCGACTGCATCGCTGCTGGCACCACCAATGTGTGGGCTGGGGAGAGGCGGAGAGAGGGAGGGGAGAGGGAAGCAGCAACAGCAGCAGCAGCAGGTGAGAGATCAAGGGGGAAGGAGAAGGGGGCATAGGGCGACTGCACCGTTGCTGCCACTTATGCCACCAAGAGGGGTGAGGGATGGGGAGGGGAGGGAGGAGGAAATGAATACGGACGGGAGAAGAACAGGCGGAGGGAGGGGTGAAGGGGAAAAATGGTGCCACCGGCTGTCGGGCTGGCAAGGGGAGGGTGGGAGAGCGGAAGCGGAAAGCAAAGGCAAGGGCATGTAAGGGGCGGAAATGGGAACGGGGCGAGCGAGGAAAGGCCAACGGGGGGAGACAGCTGGAGGACCCGTGGGGAGGAGTGGGGGGAAGCAGTGGTGCAATCTCTAGTGCAGCACTCAAGGGTGGAGAGAGGCGAAGAGACGACTCGAGGGAGGAAGATAGAGGTAAATCTAGCGTGTTTGAAAACAGCTTCAGCTTCAAGCTCACGCCTCGTTTGAACCCTCACTCAGGGTTCCTCCAGCTGGACTCGTTACAAGATATCTCGCTTAAAAAAACCCTTGTGAACAACCCCAGTTTGAAGCACCTCGTCTGATGAATTCCCAGAAATGAGCCTCGTCGAGCGCGCGATCTAACCCTAGGATTACGAGTTCGTACTCCATCGTTAGTTCGTACTCCATCGTTAGTTCGTACCCACGTTTTGAAGCGTCTCAAAACCGCATCGACCGAGTAATCGTACCCCAGCATTGAGAGTTCGTACCGGCGTTGAAAGTGGCGGCGATGGCTTCGAGAGGACTCGCCGCGGCGGCCAGATGAATCGCCACCAACGCGCCGGCCACAGCGGAAATAATGCGGCCACGTGGCGATGCGTGACTGGCGGACGCCACGTCACCGCAGTCAACGCCAACAGCGGTGCGCGGAGCAGATTCACGGGGGGGCATCACGTCCGATTTGTCGGATCCAACGGCTCGGGGAGACGAATCGTTGGATCCGACGGCTCTCCCTGCCCGAATTGCAACGGCTCGGCGCGCAAGCGGACCACTGACTGCCCTGAGGGGCCCACATGGACGGGGGAAAGCCGGGAAGAGGTGCGCGGACGGAATTAGGGCCACGCGGGAGGCGCTGAGCGGCGCGGAAAGGACATCCGTCGCCAGGAGCGTTGCCTGCGGACAGTGCGACGCCATGGTCGCTGTGAGGAAGGGAAATGCGGGTCTCCGCTAGCCAAATGGGGTTGGACTGGTGGGGCGGGTGAATATGGGAGACGGTTTTCCGTTTGTCACGCAAATCCGCGATAGTAGGTATCATGAACGGAGTAAATGTTCAAGTACAAAATAAAAACTTTCAAACACGATCGTTACCGTGTGTCATGAGGAAGTTCGCAGAAGTGTGACACTCCGGGACAATTTTTTCAAAACATAAGACATTCCGTTGCCGGGACTTGAACCCGGGTCTCACGGGTGAGAGCCGAGTATCCTAACCGACTAGACAAACGGATAAATTTATTTATTGGTAATTTGTTTTTTTAGTGATCGAGATCGCACGTCAGGTCACAGATCGGTCACGTTTGGGCCCTTCGGCAGGTCACAACAACCTGGGCTCCACCAACCAGCGCACTAGCCGCCCATCCTTACCACCGCTTGCTTACGTGGCTTGTGGAGGAGCTCAACCAAAGCCTAGAAACTTGAAGGGACTGAACTGTGGGAATGGAGGAAATGGTAGCGGAACCAAACCCCTTAGTACCGCAAACAGAACAAAACTGCACTGCACCCATATAATTTCTTGGAACTGCTAATTGAAGTTCCCATTAGGGCGTGTGTCCTTCGGCCCAAAATTGTCAAAGTTCGAACTCATAACGTTTTGAAACGCGAGAAATCGTGCTGGTAAAGTATTCTACCGTGTAGAACCTCTCTAAAAAGTCGAACTTTCGCCAAAGTTCGACCCGAATAATTACTTATGGTCTGCTGAATTCGGCTTTTGCGTAGGTGAATGGACAGTGAGGCACACGCTTAGACAGTGAGGAAAACGGATATATGTAAACTATCTCATTACTCTCACGATTTGAGTGCCACTCAAGACTACGCTATTGTCCCGTACATGGTGGATACGCTGTTGTGATTGGGGGGGGGGGAGAATGGGGTGTGGGATGGGACGTCTTGATGGGGTGTCTTGATTGGGGGTTTTGATTGGGTATCTTGAGGGGGGGTTTTATGTGTGTTGCGTTTGGTTTCTTTGTGGCAGTTTCACTTTCCTTCTCCCTTTCTTTCTTCATTTCCCTTCTCCTTGTTGAGTCTTTCTTTCCCTCCTTTTCCTCTTTCTGTTTAGGTCCTTGAGAGATTCATGTTTGTACAAACTGATACTACGCTATTGTCTATCTCCAGACTTCGGACTACCTTATATGCATTTGCAGCCACCAGGAGCCTAGACTACGAATTTTCCAATCGAGAGCCCGAACAACCTTCCATCCAGATAGGCGCATTCGGTTGATAGGCAACGCTGTGTATCTTCGCGCGTGACAGGGCCATGTAGAGCCGTCGTTTGCGAAGTAGTGGCGTTTCTCGCAAGCAACTCGCTCGCCTCTGAAGCAGCGATGCCAGGACTAAGAGAAGTGTGGACATTAGACCCCATCAATCGCGTACGATGTTACAATGTTACCACCAAATCTCGTCGAATCTCGCTATACCCGATTCTTCTGGCATCTCTTCTGATCCTAGGCTCCTCCTCTGTAGTATCCAGCGATACCAGCAGCAGCGAGGAGAAGTCGAAAGGCGACGAGGTGAAATCCGGCGATCATCCACAAGGGATATGGGAACGAATTGTTTCAGGAGCGCTAGGAATCGATCAGGAAATGGAGGAATTTGAGAAGAGTTTGGGAATCGGTGGTAGCAATTCCAATGAGAAGCCGTCGACTACGGGGACAGAATCAGATGGGAAAAATAATTCTTCAGCGAATTCGGGAAGCCGAAGTGATGGGAAAGCGGAAGATTCGAAATCGCACGGCGAGGATGCGGAAGAGGAGGTCGAGGAGAAAGAGACGGTCCAGATGCTCGCTGACGGAGATGCGGACGGAATTCCGATTTTGATTGGCGTGAAGGAGCCGAAGAAAGAATCTAAGAGTAAGAAAGCTGAGGAGGAATCGAAGAAGGCATCCGGGGAAGGCGGGGGGAAAGACGACAAGGAGAAGGAGAAGGGGAAGGATAAGGGAGAGGAGAAGCGAGAGGAGAAGGGAAAATCCGGAGGAAAGGAGGGAGACGTGGGAGCAGGGACAGGAGACGGAAAAGCAGGGAAGGAGAGCGCGAGTGCGGCGGATGATAACCCGGATCAGTACGAAGGGGAGGAGGGCGATGGCGCGCAGAAGAAGGCGAAAGGCGGCGGGAAAAAAGGAGGCAAAGGCGAGAACGTGGGAGAGATGATGGAGAAGATTCTAGAAAGACTGGATGACATGGAGGGCGAGGGGGGGAAGTTCAATGAAACCCTAGAAAAGCAGGAGGCGGTTCTGGAGACCGTGGCGCGGGTGGGGAAGCATCACGTGCACGAGAAGGAGGAGAAGGAGCGCGAGGAGCGGGAGAAGCAGGAGCAGGAGGAGGCGGAGAGGGAAGCGGAGCTGAAGGCGAAGCAGGAGGCGGACGCAGCTGCTGCTGCGGCAAAGAACAGCTGGGACGGAGGGGTGACCGGTGGTGGAGAGCGGTCGTTTTTTGATATTCTCCTGGGGATAGACGCTGTGCCGCCACCTCCGCCCCCGCCGCGCCCCACCCCTAAGAACGTCACTAAAGCGTCAGCTAGAAACGAGACCAAGAAAGAGCAGGAGGCGGAGCAGGAAGACGAGAAGGACGTTCCTCGGCTCATAGACTCCCAGGATAACGAATACGTTATAAGCAGCCCCGGTAAGGGGTCGAAGATGCAGCTACAGGAGGATTTCACCCTCATTTCGGACATTGTGAAGGTGATAGTGGCGGCGGCGCTGGGCGGACTCGCGTGTGGGCTGATGGGGCAGCCCATCATCCTGGGATACATTGTCGCTGGCATGGCCATCGGCCCTGGCGGGCTGGGGCTCATTCACGAGCTAGTACAGGTCAGTAGGGTTACCACATGTGGTGTTACAGGGCGGTGGGTGCTAGGAGGCCTGGCGTCTGGGCTGATGGGGCAGCCAATCATCCTGGGATACATTGTCGCTGGCATGGCCATCGGCCCGGGCAGGCTGGGCCTTATCCACGAGCTCGTGCAGGTGGGTAGGGGTTACCACATGGTATTGCTTATTAGGGTTAGGGTTATCGCATTGGTGTTACAGGGTGGTGAGTGCTGGGAGGTCTGGCATGCGGACTAATGAAGCCCTATAGGTTGCTGCATGTCTGTTGTTACGAGTAGGGTTACCACATTGGTTGAAGGCAGTTGGGTTGCCGTATGAGTGTTGCAGACAGCCTATAAAGCAGTCAGTAGGGTTACCACATGGTGAATGACAGTAGGGTTACCACATGGTGGAGGACAGTAGGGTTATCGTATGTGCAGGTCAGTGGGGTTACCACGTGAGCTGTTACAGGGCAGTGAGAGCTGGGATGGCTGGTATGTGATTGATGGGGGTTCAGCCGAGCCAAGATGCAGGGAGTGCGCAATGTGGCTCCAACCAAAGCACACACACACACTCACACACACTCACACACACACACTCACACGCACACACACACACTCACTCACACACACACACACACACACACTTCTTCTCCTTCCTCTCCTGACTGTAGGTTGGAATCCTAGAACAGTTCAGGTTCAGGGTAAACCCTGCAATTGCCTTTCTTCTCACCCACTTACCCACCCTTCACAGGTGGAAACCCTAGCCCAGTTTGGAGTCGTCTTCCTGCTGTTCGCCCTGGGGGTGGAGTTCAGTCTCGCCAAGATGCAGGGCGTGCACAACGTGCCTCTATTCGCATGCGGACCCCCTCTTCTTCCTCCTCCTCTCTCTTTCCTCCCCCTGCAGGTTGAAACCCTAGCGCAGTTCGGGGTGGTGTTTCTGCTCTTCGCCCTGGGGGTGGAGTTCAGTCTCGCCAAGGTGCAGGGGGTGCACAACGTGGCTCTCAGGCACATTCCTTCTTCTTCTCCCTCTTCTCCCTCCTCTGCTCCTCTATCTACCGTGCAGGTGGAAACTTTAGCCCAGTTCGGAGTGGTGTTTCTGCTCTTCGCCCTGGGGGTCGAGTTCAGCCTCGCCAAGATGCAGGGCGTGCACAACGTGGCGCTGGGCGGCGGAGTGCTGCAGATCGCAATTGCCATGATTCTGGGCGGCATCTTCAGCTCCAACACGCCGCAGGGGCTCTTCATAGGTGCGTAGCTATAGGGGGGTCACGGGGCCAGGCAGGACTAGCTATGTGTCGGTGGGTGTGTGAGTCAAGGCCGTGGGTAGTGGTCTGCTCCCTGTAGCAGCATGGAGTGCTGCAGATCGCCATGATTCTGGGCGGCATCTTCAGCTCCAACACTCCCCAGGGGCTCTTCATAGGTGCGCTTTTGTTGTACCTGGTGATATGTGGCAATTTTTCGGTGGGTGTGCGAGTCAAGGGCTTAGCTAGTGGTGCCTGTAGCAGCAGTGCTCGAGGTCCTCATAACCAGGTGACTTTTGAGTCGACTCAAAATGACTTTTTGAGTCGACTCAAAAGTCCTCATCACCATGATTCCGGGCGCCATCGTCAGCTCCAGCATGCCCCAGGAGCTCTTCATAGGTGCGTATCTGGGTCAGGGAGCCAGGGCTAGCTATTGCCAGGTGGGAGGGAGTCCGGCTCAAGGGCTTTGCTAGTGGTGCCTGTGGGAGCACGGGAGTGCTGCCAAACCTCATAGCCGTTACTCCTAGTTCTGGCCGGCATCCTCACCTCCAACGCGCCCCAGGGGTAGGTGCGCGCGCTTGGGTCACTGTGTGATGTGATGTCCGTACCCTACTGCTGCAGCAGTAGTAGGTGCAGAAATCGCTTTTGAGGATTCTCAAATGCGATTCTCAACTGCTGCAGCAGTAGGAGGTGCAGCAGGAAGAGGTCGTTCTGCAAAGTCGCCTGTCCATGGTCCGAAGCCGTACCTTCACGGTGAAGGCTTCACCCCCACACGCCCCAGGAGCAATTCATAGGTGCGCGTCTGGACTGGACTATGAGCTGGGCCTGTTCGTAGATGGATAGGAGGGTACGTGGAGTGGAGGAGGGTTCTTCGTTTTCACCTGGGCCTTTGTCTCCCTCCCTCCCTCCTCACGCCCACCCTCGTTGCACCACCCAGCTTCCTTGCTCCCCCGCTGTGCTCCCAGGCCGTGCATTCCCTCTTCTCTCTCTCCTCCTCTCCCCCTTTATTTCCTCGCTCCTCTCCAGCACCCCCAACCCCCACCAGGCAATGCCCTGTCCATGACAATTACAGTAATAACCCCCAAGTGACTCACTTCCTTATTTCCACCCCACCCCTTCCTCTGCTCCCCACCCCTGCTCCCTCTCCCCACGTTCACACCCCCCTCAGCCCCCTTTCCTTTCTCACTTCTCCCACCATGCGGCTGCTTGTGAATCCCTCCACAGCACAGCACTGGTGAATCCCTCCACAGCACAGCACTGGTGAATCCCTCCACAGCACAGCACTGGTGAATCCCTCCACAGCACAGCACTGGTGAATCCCTCCACAGCACAGCACTGGTGAATCCCTCCACAGCACAGCACTGGTGAATCCCTCCACAGCACAGCACTGGTGAATCCCTCCACAGCACAGCACTGGTGAATCCCTCCACAGCACAGCACTGGTGAATCCCTCCACAGCACAGCACTGGTGAATCCCTCCACAGCACAGCACTGGTGAATCCCTCCACAGCACAGCACTGGTGAATCCCTCCACAGCACAGCACTGGTGAATCCCTCCACAGCACAGCACTGGTGAATCCCTCCACAGCACAGCACTGGTGAATCCCTCCACAGCACAGCACTGGTGAATCCCTCCACAGCACAGCACTGGTGAATCCCTCCACAGCACAGCACTGGTGAATCCCTCCACAGCACAGCACTGGTGAATCCCTCCACAGCACAGCACTGGTGAATCCCTCCACAGCACAGCACTGGTGAATCCCTCCACAGCACAGCACTGGTGAATCCCTCCACAGCACAGCACTGGTGAATCCCTCCACAGCACAGCACTGGTGAATCCCTCCACAGCACAGCACTGGTGAATCCCTCCACAGCACAGCACTGGTGAATCCCTCCACAGCACAGCACTGGTGAATCCCTCCACAGCACAGCACTGGTGAATCCCTCCACAGCACAGCACTGGTGAATCCCTCCACAGCACAGCACTGGTGAATCCCTCCACAGCACAGCACTGGTGAATCCCTCCACAGCACAGCACTGGTGAATCCCTCCACAGCACAGCACTGGTGCTCAATGGCCTCCCTCTCATCGTCACCCCTCCCCTACCGACCAGGCGGCTTCCTATCAATGTCATCCACAGCCGTGGTGCTCAAGTGCCTGGTGGACATCAACGGCTTCAACTCTGAGCACGGCCAGGTGCAGTGCGGTGGGGCGTGGTGCAATGGGTTAGTGGGGGATTTAGCTGAGGAGGCAGGTGCAGTGCGGTGGGGGGCCGTGGTTGAAGGAAGCACGGGCAGGTGTGGTGAGGGCCTTGCCTGAAATAGGAACAGCCGTGTGTGGTGAGGGCCATGCCTGAAATAGGAACAGCCGTGTGTGGTGAGGGCCTTGCCTGAAATAGGAACAGCCGTGTGTGGTGAGGGCCATGCCTTGCCAGTTATAGACACGGGCAGGTGAGTAGGGGCAGGGTGCGGGCTGAACCATGGCCATCGGCTGGCGATGTTGTGTTGACACTTGGGAAGTTGCGGTATGAACAGGGGAGTTTTGCCTCTTTCCCCCTCGCCCCACCCCTCCCCCCATGCCACCACTGCTTGCCTTGCCCTCTCCATGGCCCACCCATCCCACTCCTCCTCCACCCCTCTTCCGCTCCTCCTCCACCCCTCTTCCGCTCCTCCTCCACCCCCCTTCTGCTCCTCCCGTCCTCTGTCCTCACTCCCGTCATACCCGGCTGCCCTACCCCAAGACATGCTCAAAACGCTCACTCAACGCGCTGGGACTGGTCTGGTGCGTATGGGCTTCCTCACGACTGCTCTCTAAGCCTGCTCGAGCGTGTGTAAAGACCCCACCCACCCTTTTGTTAACCCCACCCCACTGGAACCCCTTCTGCCCTCCCGCAGATCATCCTGGCCACGCAGATCATCCTGGCCACGCAGATCATCCTGGCCACGCTCTCATTATGCATGGCTGTGCCCTAAGCCTGCTCCTTTTCACATGCCAGCACTGCTACTTCACATTGCAGTCCCCCATCTCCTCCCCCACTACCCCTTCTTCCCCGCAAACCCTCCCCCCCACCTTCCCTCCTCTGCCCTTCCCCAGATCATGCTCGGCACGCTCATTGCACAGGACTGCGCCCTCGGGCTCCTCCTCGCAATAATGCCGGCGCTCGCCGCCCGCCCTGCATCGGCGTCCGCCATCCTACTGGCCCTGGTGCGCGAGCTGCTCATCCTGCTCGCCTTCTGCCTCGTTGCCTGGGCGCTCTCCCGCCTGCTCGTGCCGCGCTTCCTGCGCCTGCTCGTGCGCGTGTCCAGGGGCAACAACGAGCTGTACCAGCTCGGCATCATGGGCAACTGCCTGTGTGTGGCTCTGCTGTCCGAGTATCTTGGGCTGTCCCTAGAGGTCGGGGCGTTCATTGCCGGCCTCATGCTCTCAGGTGCGTGCCTGAGGTGGATACATCCATTCGTGTGTGTGCCATTTAGTGAGGCGTGTCCCGAGGCAAGGCAACAACGAGCTGTACCAGCTGGGCATCAAGGGCAACTGCCTCTGCGTGGCGCTGCTGTGCGAGTACCTGGGGCTATCGCTTGAAGTGGGGGCGTTCATCGCAGGGCTCATGCTCTTAGGTGCGTGCTTGAGGTGGCTACATGCATGTGTATGTGCATGTTTATGTGCGCATGTACGTATGTGCATGTGTATGTGCGCATGCATGTATGTGCATGTTTATGTGTGCATGTACGTATGTGCATGTCTATGTATGTACGCATGTATGTATGTGCCATATACTGGGGTGTGTCAGTCAAGGGGCAGGGACGAGGCATCATGGTCAAATGTCTGCGTCTGCATTTGCATTTCTCTCTTTTTCATGTACCTGCGTCTCTTGCTTGAAGTGAGTGTCATTGATTGCGTCACTTGCTTGAAGTGAGTGTCATTGATTGCGTCTCTTGCTTGAAGTGAGTGTCATTGATTGCGTCTCTTGCTTGAAGTGAGTGTCATTGATTGCGTCTCTTGCTTGAAGTGAGTGTCATTGATTGCGTCTCTTGCTTGAAGTGAGTGTCATTGATTGCGTCTCTTGCTTGAAGTGAGTGTCATTGATTGCGTCTCTTGCTTGAAGTGAGTGTCATTGATTGCGTCTCTTGCTTGAAGTGAGTGTCATTGATTGCGTCTCTTGCTTGAAGTGAGTGTCATTGATTGCGTCTCTTGCTTGAAGTGAGTGTCATTGATTGCGTCTCTTGCTTGAAGTGAGTGTCATTGATTGCGTCTCTTGCTTGAAGTGAGTGTCATTGATTGCGTCTCTTGCTTGAAGTGAGTGTCATTGATTGCGTCTCTTGCTTGAAGTGAGTGTCATTGATTGCGTCTCTTGCTTGAAGTGAGTGTCATTGATTGCGTCTCTTGCTTGAAGTGAGTGTCATTGATTGCGTCTCTTGCTTGAAGTGAGTGTCATTGATTGCGTCTCTTGCTTGAAGTGAGTGTCATTGATTGCGTCTCTTGCTTGAAGTGAGTGTCATTGATTGCGTCTCTTGCTTGAAGTGAGTGTCATTGATTGCGTCTCTTGCTTGAAGTGAGTGTCATTGATTGCGTCTCTTGCTTGAAGTGAGTGTCATTGATTGCGTCTCTTGCTTGAAGTGAGTGTCATTGATTGCGTCTCTTGCTTGAAGTGAGTGTCATTGATTGCGTCTCTTGCTTGAAGTGAGTGTCATTGATTGCGTCTCTTGCTTGAAGTGAGTGTCATTGATTGCGTCTCTTGCTTGAAGTGAGTGTCGTTGATTGCGTCTCTTGCTTGAAGTGAGTGTCGTTGATTGCGTCTCTTGCTTGAAGTGAGTGTCATTGATTGCGTCTCTTGCTTGAAGTGAGTGTCATTGATTGCGTCTCTTGCTTGAAGTGAGTGTCATTGATTGCGTCTCTTGCTTGAAGTGAGTGTCATTGATTGCGTCTCTTGCTTGAAGTGAGTGTCGTTGATTGCGTCTCTTGCTTGAAGTGAGTGTCGTTGATTGCGTCTCTTGCTTGAAGTGAGTGTCATTGATTGCGTCTCTTGCTTGAAGTGAGTGTCGTTGATTGCGTCTCTTGCTTGAAGTGAGTGTCATTGATTGCGTCTCTTGCTTGAATTGAGTGTCATTGATTGCGTCTCTTGCTTGAAGTGAGTGTCATTGATTGCGTCTCTTGCTTGAAGTGAGTGTCATTGATTGCGTCTCTTGCTTGAAGTGAGTGTCATTGATTGCGTCTCTTGCTTGAAGTGAGTGTCATTGATTGCGTCTCTTGCTTGAAGTGAGTGTCATTGATTGCGTCTCTTGCTTGAAGTGAGTGTCATTGATTGCGTCTCTTGCTTGAAGTGAGTGTCATTGATTGCGTCTCTTGCTTGAAGTGAGTGTCATTGATTGCGTCTCTTGCTTGAAGTGAATGTCATTGATTGCGTCTCTTGCTTGAAGTGAGTGTCATTGATTGCGTCTCTTGCTTGAAGTGAGTGTCATTGATTGCGTCTCTTGCTTGAAGTGAGTGTCATTGATTGCGTCTCTTGCTTGAAGTGAGTGTCGTTGATTGCGTCTCTTGCTTGAAGTGAGTGTCATTGATTGCGTCTCTTGCTTGAAGTGAGTGTCATTGATTGCGTCTCTTGCTTGAAGTGAGTGTCATTGATTGCGTCTCTTGCTTGAAGTGAGTGTCATTGATTGCGTCTCTTGCTTGAAGTGAGTGTCATTGATTGCGTCTCTTGCTTGAAGTGAGTGTCATTGATTGCGTCTCTTGCTTGAAGTGAGTGTCATTGATTGCGTCTCTTGCTTGAAGTGAGTGTCATTGATTGCGTCTCTTGCTTGAAGTGAGTGTCGTTGATTGCGTCTCTTGCTTGAAGTGAGTGTCGTTGATTGCGTCTCTTGCTTGAAGTGAGTGTCATTGATTGCGTCTCTTGCTTGAAGTGAGTGTCATTGATTGCGTCTCTTGCTTGAAGTGAGTGTCATTGATTGCGTCTCTTGCTTGAAGTGAGTGTCATTGATTGCGTCTCTTGCTTGAAGTGAGTGTCATTGATTGCGTCTCTTGCTTGAAGTGAGTGTCATTGATTGCGTCTCTTGCTTGAAGTGAGTGTCATTGATTGCGTCTCTTGCTTGAAGTGAGTGGCGTTGATTGCGTCTCTTGCTTGAAGTGAGTGTCATTGATTGCGTCTCTTGCTTGAAGTGAGTGTCATTGATTGCGTCTCTTGCTTGAAGTGAGTGTCATTGATTGCGTCTCTTGCTTGAAGTGAGTGTCATTGATTGCGTCTCTTGCTTGAAGTGAGTGTCATTGATTGCGTCTCTTGCTTGAAGTGAGTGGCGTTGATTGCGTCTCTTGCTTGAAGTGAGTGTCATTGATTGCGTCTCTTGCTTGAAGTGAGTGTCATTGATTGCGTCTCTTGCTTGAAGTGAGTGTCATTGATTGCGTCTCTTGCTTGAAGTGAGTGTCATTGATTGCGTCTCTTGCTTGAAGTGAGTGGCGTTGATTGCGTCTCTTGCTTGAAGTGAGTGTCATTGATTGCGTCTCTTGCTTGAAGTGAGTGTCATTGATTGCGTCTCTTGCTTGAAGTGAGTGTCATTGATTGCGTCTCTTGCTTGAAGTGAGTGTCATTGATTGCGTCTCTTGCTTGAAGTGAGTGGCGTTGATTGCGTCTCTTGCTTGAAGTGAGTGTCATTGATTGCGTCTCTTGCTTGAAGTGAGTGTCATTGATTGCGTCTCTTGCTTGAAGTGAGTGTCATTGATTGCGTCTCTTGCTTGAAGTGAGTGTCATTGATTGCGTCTCTTGCTTGAAGTGAGTGTCATTGATTGCGTCTCTTGCTTGAAGTGAGTGTCATTGATTGCGTCTCTTGCTTGAAGTGAGTGTCATTGATTGCGTCTCTTGCTTGAAGTGAGTGGCGTTGATTGCGTCTCTTGCTTGAAGTGAGTGTCATTGATTGCGTCTCTTGCTTGAAGTGAGTGGCGTTGATTGCGTCTCTTGCTTGAAGTGAGTGTCATTGATTGCGTCTCTTGCTTGAAGTGAGTGTCATTGATTGCGTCTCTTGCTTGAAGTGAGTGTCATTGATTGCGTCTCTTGCTTGAAGTGAGTGTCATTGATTGCGTCTCTTGCTTGAAGTGAGTGTCGTTGATTGCGTCTCTTGCTTGAAGTGAGTGTCATTGATTGCGTCTCTTGCTTGAAGTGAGTGTCATTGATTGCGTCTCTTGCTTGAAGTGAGTGTCATTGATTGCGTCTCTTGCTTGAAGTGAGTGTCATTGATTGCGTCTCTTGCTTGAAGTGAGTGTCATTGATTGCGTCTCTTGCTTGAAGTGAGTGTCATTGATTGCGTCTCTTGCTTGAAGTGAGTGTCATTGATTGCGTCTCTTGCTTGAAGTGAGTGTCATTGATTGCGTCTCTTGCTTGAAGTGAGTGTCGTTGATTGCGTCTCTTGCTTGAAGTGAGTGTCGTTGATTGCGTCTCTTGCTTGAAGTGAGTGTCATTGATTGCGTCTCTTGCTTGAAGTGAGTGTCATTGATTGCGTCTCTTGCTTGAAGTGAGTGTCATTGATTGCGTCTCTTGCTTGAAGTGAGTGTCATTGATTGCGTCTCTTGCTTGAAGTGAGTGTCATTGATTGCGTCTCTTGCTTGAAGTGAGTGTCATTGATTGCGTCTCTTGCTTGAAGTGAGTGTCATTGATTGCGTCTCTTGCTTGAAGTGAGTGGCGTTGATTGCGTCTCTTGCTTGAAGTGAGTGTCATTGATTGCGTCTCTTGCTTGAAGTGAGTGTCATTGATTGCGTCTCTTGCTTGAAGTGAGTGTCATTGATTGCGTCTCTTGCTTGAAGTGAGTGTCATTGATTGCGTCTCTTGCTTGAAGTGAGTGTCATTGATTGCGTCTCTTGCTTGAAGTGAGTGGCGTTGATTGCGTCTCTTGCTTGAAGTGAGTGTCATTGATTGCGTCTCTTGCTTGAAGTGAGTGTCATTGATTGCGTCTCTTGCTTGAAGTGAGTGTCATTGATTGCGTCTCTTGCTTGAAGTGAGTGTCATTGATTGCGTCTCTTGCTTGAAGTGAGTGGCGTTGATTGCGTCTCTTGCTTGAAGTGAGTGTCATTGATTGCGTCTCTTGCTTGAAGTGAGTGTCATTGATTGCGTCTCTTGCTTGAAGTGAGTGTCATTGATTGCGTCTCTTGCTTGAAGTGAGTGGCGTTGATTGCGTCTCTTGCTTGAAGTGAGTGGCGTTGATTGCGTCTCTTGCTTGAAGTGAGTGTCATTGATTGCGTCTCTTGCTTGAAGTGAGTGTCATTGATTGCGTCTCTTGCTTGAAGTGAGTGTCATTGATTGCGTCTCTTGCTTGAAGTGAGTGTCATTGATTGCGTCTCTTGCTTGAAGTGAGTGTCATTGATTGCGTCTCTTGCTTGAAGTGAGTGTCATTGATTGCGTCTCTTGCTTGAAGTGAGTGTCATTGATTGCGTCTCTTGCTTGAAGTGAGTGGCGTTGATTGCGTCTCTTGCTTGAAGTGAGTGGCGTTGATTGCGTCTCTTGCTTGAAGTGAGTGGCGTTGATTGCGTCTCTTGCTTGAAGTGAGTGTCATTGATTGCGTCTCTTGCTTGAAGTGAGTGTCATTGATTGCGTCTCTTGCTTGAAGTGAGTGTCATTGATTGCGTCTCTTGCTTGAAGTGAGTGTCATTGATTGCGTCTCTTGCTTGAAGTGAGTGTCATTGATTGCGTCTCTTGCTTGAAGTGAGTGTCATTGATTGCGTCTCTTGCTTGAAGTGAGTGTCATTGATTGCGTCTCTTGCTTGAAGTGAGTGTCATTGATTGCGTCTCTTGCTTGAAGTGAGTGTCATTGATTGCGTCTCTTGCTTGAAGTGAGTGGCGTTGATTGCGTCTCTTGCTTGAAGTGAGTGGCGTTGATTGCGTCTCTTGCTTGAAGTGAGTGTCATTGATTGCGATTGCGTCTCTTGCTTGAAGTGAGTGGCGTTGATTGCGTCTCTTGCTTGAAGTGAGTGTCATTGATTGCGTCTCTTGCTTGAAGTGAGTGTCGTTGATTGCGTCTCTTGCTTGAAGTGAGTGTCATTGATTGCGTCTCTTGCTTGAAGTGAGTGTCATTGATTGCGTCTCTTGCTTGAAGTGAGTGTCATTGATTGCGTCTCTTGCTTGAAGTGAGTGGCGTTGATTGCGTCTCTTGCTTGAAGTGAGTGTCATTGATTGCGTCTCTTGCTTGAAGTGAGTGTCATTGATTGCGTCTCTTGCTTGAAGTGAGTGGCGTTGATTGCGTCTCTTGCTTGAAGTGAGTGTCATTGATTGCGTCTCTTGCTTGAAGTGAGTGTCATTGATTGCGTCTCTTGCTTGAAGTGAGTGTCATTGATTGCGTCTCTTGCTTGAAGTGAGTGTCATTGATTGCGTCTCTTGCTTGAAGTGAGTGTCATTGATTGCGTCTCTTGCTTGAAGTGAGTGGCGTTGATTGCGTCTCTTGCTTGAAGTGAGTGTCATTGATTGCGTCTCTTGCTTGAAGTGAGTGTCATTGATTGCGTCTCTTGCTTGAAGTGAGTGTCATTGATTGCGTCTCTTGCTTGAAGTGAGTGTCATTGATTGCGTCTCTTGCTTGAAGTGAGTGTCATTGATTGCGTCTCTTGCTTGAAGTGAGTGTCATTGATTGCGTCTCTTGCTTGAAGTGAGTGTCATTGATTGCGTCTCTTGCTTGAAGTGAGTGGCGTTGATTGCGTCTCTTGCTTGAAGTGAGTGTCATTGATTGCGTCTCTTGCTTGAAGTGAGTGTCATTGATTGCGTCTCTTGCTTGAAGTGAGTGTCATTGATTGCGTCTCTTGCTTGAAGTGAGTGTCATTGATTGCGTCTCTTGCTTGAATGCATCTTGCTCATGTATGCATCTTGCTCATGTATGCATCTTGCTCATGTATGCATCTTGCTCATGGATGCATCTTGCTCATGTATGCATCTTGCTCATGTATGCATCTTGCTCATGTATGCATCTTGCTCGTGTATGCATCTTGCTCATGTATGCATCTTGCTCATGTATGCATCTTGCTCATGTATGCATCTTGCTCATGTATGCATCTTGCTCATGTATGCATCTTGCTCATGTATGCATCTTGCTCATGTATGCATCTTGCTCATGTATGCATCTTGCTCATGTATGCATCTTGCTCATGTATGCATCTTGCTCATGTATGCATCTTGCTCATGTATGCATCTTGCTCATGTATGCATCTTGCTCATGTATGCATCTTGCTCATGTATGCATCTTGCTCATGTATGCATCTTGCTCATGTATGCATCTTGCTCATGTATGCATCTTGCTCATGTATGCATCTTGCTCATGTATGCATCTTGCTCATGTATGCATCTTGCTCATGTATGCATCTTGCTCATGTATGCATCTTGCTCATGTATGCATCTTGCTCATGTATGCATCTTGCTCATGTATGCATCTTGCTCATGTATGCATCTTGCTCATGTATGCATCTTGCTCATGTATGCATCTTGCTCATGTATGCATCTTGCTCATGTATGCATCTTGCTCATGTATGCATCTTGCTCATGTATGCATCTTGCTCATGTATGCATCTTGCTCATGTATGCATCTTGCTCATGTATGCATCTTGCTCATGTATGCATCTTGCTCATGTATGCATCTTGCTCATGTATGCATCTTGCTCATGTATGCATCTTGCTCATGTATGCATCTTGCTCATGTATGCATCTTGCTCATGTATGCATCTTGCTCATGTATGCATCTTGCTCATGTATGCATCTTGCTCATGTATGCATCTTGCTCATGTATGCATCTTGCTCATGTATGCATCTTGCTCATGTATGCATCTTGCTCATGTATGCATCTTGCTCATGTATGCATCTTGCTCATGTATGCATCTTGCTCATGTATGCATCTTGCTCATGTATGCATCTTGCTCATGTATTGTATGCATCTTGCTCATGTATGCATCTTGCTCGTGTATGCATCTTGCTCATGTATGCATCTTGGTCATGTATGCATCTTGCTCATGTATGCATCTTGCTCATGTATGCATCTTGCTCATGTATGCATCTTGCTCATGTATGCATCTTGCTCATGTATGCATCTTGCTCATGTATGCATCTTGCTCATGTATGCATCTTGCTCATGTATGCATCTTGCTCATGTATGCATCTTGCTCATGTATGCATCTTGCTCATGTATGCATCTTGCTCATGTATGCATCTTGCTCGTGTATGCATCTTGCTCGTGTATGCATCTTGCTCATGTATGCATCTTGCTCATGTATGCATCTTGTCAACAACCGTACATATCTTGCTCTGCTCATGCATGGCACGTCTTGATGGCCAACAGTGCCCCCTCCCCCCCCACCCCTCTTCCCTCTCTCCCCCCTCCCTCCACCTCCTCCTCCCAAGAGCCACGTGCAGCGAGCACACCATATTACAATGGCCACATTGGACGGAGCTCGTGTGCAGCATGGGCAGAACGATGCTCCCTGCAACTTGCCCACTCCCCCTCGTCCTTCTCCCTGCCCTCCCCCCTCCAGGCGGCACATACAGCGAGAGAACACTGCACCAGGTGGAGCCGGTGCGCAACATGTTTGCGGCGCTCTTCCTGGCGTCCATAGGCATGGTGATGCACCCCATGTTCCTCTGGCAGCACAAGGACATTCTGCTCCTCGCCCTTGCTGTTGTCTTTTTGGGGAAGACGCTGCTCGTTGCTCTCGTGGTGAGTCAGGGAGTGGGGATGGGTGGCAAGGAGGGGGAATAGGCACAGCTTGGGGTAGGCATGGCGATGCACCCCATGGTCCTCTGGCAGCAGAAAGACATTCTGCTGCTCGCCCTCGCGATAGTTTTCCTGGGGAAAACACTGCTCGTTGCTCTCGTGGTAAGGGGGGGAATGTGAATGGTGAGGGAGGGAGTGGGGATGGGGGCACAGAACAGGGTGGGTAGTGGGGCACAGGCATGGTGATGCACCCCTTGGTCCTTTGGCAGCACAAGGACATTCTGCTGCTCGCCCTCGCCGTCGTCTTTCTGGGAAAAACACTCCTCGTTGCTCTCGTGGTAAGAGAGGGAGTGGGTGGGTGGGGATGGTAAGGGAGAGAGTGGGTGGGGATGGTAAGGGAGAGAGTGGGTGGGGATGGTAAGGGAGAGAGTGGGTGGGGATGGTAAGGGATAGAGTGGGTGGGGATGGTAAGGGAGAGTGGGTGGGGATGGTAAGGGAGAGATTGAGTGGGGATGGTAAGGGAGAGAGTGGGTGGGGATGGTAAGGGAGAGAGTGGGTGGGGATGGTAAGGGAGAGTGGGTGGGGATGGTAAGGGAGAGAGTGGGTGGGGATGGTAAGGGAGAGAGTGGGTGGGGATGGTAAGGGAGAGAGTGGGTAGGGATGGTAAGGGAGAGAGTGGGTGGGGATGGTAAGGGAGAGAGTGGGTTGGTAAGGGAGAGAGTGGGTGGGGATGGTAAGGGAGAGAGTGGGGGTGGGGGCACAGCACAGGGTGGGTTTGCCCATGGTGAGCCAGCACCCCTTGTTCCTCTGGCAGCACCCCTTGTTCCTCTGGCAGCACCCCATGTTCCTCTGGCAGCACCCCATGTTCCTCTGGCAGCACCCCATGTTCCTCTGGCAGCACAAGGACATTCTGCTGCGCGCCCTTGCTGTTGTATTCCTGGGAGAACTCTGCTCGTTGCTCTCGTGGTGAGTTGGGGAGTGGGGACGGTATGGCAGGGAGGGGGAATGAGGTACAGCACGGGGTGGGCATAGGCATGGCGATGCACGCACCCCATGGTCCTCTGGCAGCAAAAGGACATTCTTCTCCTTGTCCTCTGTGGGGACACAAGTCCTCGCTGTTGTTTCCGTGGGGAATGCACTTCTTGTTGCTCTCGTGGTAAGGGAGATGTGGGGAAGCTTGCATTGCGGGGTAACGGCAAACCTCTAACAGCCCACGCCCGCCCTATCTCCCCTCCCCATGGTCCCTGCCACTTGCTTTCTCCCCATGGTCCCTGCCACTTGCTTTCTCCCCATGGTCCCTGCCACTTGCTTTCTCCCCATGGTCCCTGCCACTTGCTTTCTCCCCATGGTCCCTGCCACTTGCTTTCTCCCCATGGTCCCTGCCACTTGCTTTCTCTTCTGTATGTGAGTCAGTTTTGAATCCCCTTCATTTTGGATCTGTTAGAAGTTCATTCACGGTTGCAGAACCAGCTGGTAAGAACACCCCTCCAGTGTTGCGAGCCTGCCTACACGGAAGTATGACACTCATGGTCACCAGGAGTGTCATTTCAAAGGTAGTTACAATTGTGGTGCATCCCGCAAGCATAACAATCACCGTGGGTCTCCGCCGGAAGGGTCCAGTCAGTCAATCCGACTTGGCATCTGTGGGAAATCACTCCCGTCCCCTTTCCACTCAATGGCTCCGCATCCCCTTTCCACTCAATGGCTCCGCATCCCCTTTCCACTCAATGGCTCCGCATCCCCTTTCCACTCAATGGCTCCGCATCCCCTTTCCACTCAATGGCTCCGCATCCCCTTTCCACTCAATGGCTCCGCATCCCCTTTCCACTCAATGGCTCCGCATCCCCTTTCCACTCAATGGCTCCGCATCCCCTTTCCACTCAATGGCTCCGCATCCCCTTTCCACTCAATGGCTCCGCATCCCCTTTCCACTCAATGGCTCCGCATCCCCTTTCCACTCAATGGCTCCGCATCCCCTTTCCACTCAATGGCTCCGCATCCCCTTTCCACTCAATGGCTCCGCATCCCCTTTCCACTCAATGGCTCCGCATCCCCTTTCCACTCAATGGCTCCGCATCCCCTTTCCACTCAATGGCTCCGCATCCCCTTTCCACTCAATGGCTCCGCATCCCCTTTCCACTCAATGGCTCCGCATCCCCTTTCCACTCAATGGCTCCGCATCCCCTTTCCACTCAATGGCTCCGCATCCCCTTTCCACTCAATGGCTCCGCATCCCCTTTCCACTCAATGGCTCCGCATCCCCTTTCCACTCAATGGCTCCGCATCCCCTTTCCACTCAATGGCTCCGCATCCCCTTTCCACTCAATGGCTCCGCATCCCCTTTCCACTCAATGGCTCCGCATCCCCTTTCCACTCAATGGCTCCGCATCCCCTTTCCACTCAATGGCTCCGCATCCCCTTTCCACTCAATGGCTCCGCATCCCCTTTCCACTCAATGGCTCCGCATCCCCTTTCCACTCAATGGCTCCGCATCCCCTTTCCACTCAATGGCTCCGCATCCCCTTTCCACTCAATGGCTCCGCATCCCCTTTCCACTCAATGGCTCCGCATCCCCTTTCCACTCAATGGCTCCGCATCCCCTTTCCACTCAATGGCTCCGCATCCCCTTTCCACTCAATGGCTCCGCATCCCCTTTCCACTCAATGGCTCCGCATCCCCTTTCCACTCAATGGCTCCGCATCCCCTTTCCACTCAATGGCTCCGCATCCCCTTTCCACTCAATGGCTCCGCATCCCCTTTCCACTCAATGGCTCCGCATCCCCTTTCCACTCAATGGCTCCGCATCCCCTTTCCACTCAATGGCTCCGCATCCCCTTTCCACTCAATGGCTCCGCATCCCCTTTCCACTCAATGGCTCCGCATCCCCTTTCCACTCAATGGCTCCGCATCCCCTTTCCACTCAATGGCTCCGCATCTCCACCTGCAGTGCCGGCACGGCAACAGCAGTCAGTCCGCGCTTGCTCACACCAGGGAACCCATTTTTCTTCGCAATCCCCCCTCCCTCTCCTCCCCCCTCCGCGCTGCTCCCCCATACACCAGGTCCGGGGCTTTGGATACTGTGCAGGCACAGCAGCAGCGGTGGGCATAGCACTGATGCAGATAAGGGAATCATTGAGTCATCTTTTCCTCTCTCTCTTCTCTCCACCCCTTCCCCAATGCACCCATTCAACAGGTCCGGGGCCTTGGATACAGTGCTGACACGGCAGTAGCGGTGGGCATAGGGCTCGCTCACATCAAACAGTCCTTTCTCTTTCCACCCACCACGCGCTCGCGCAAACGCTGAAGCTGGTGGGGCACAAGCTGTACCTGCTGCTCATGGGCACCACCGCGCTCTCCCTTCGCCTTCTCAACTCCCTGCCTCCTCCCCACCCCTTGCGCCCCTCTCCCCCTCCCCACTCCCCCTGTCCTCCATTCCCTCCCCCCCTCGTTCCCCCATTCCCTAGGTTCGTGGTTTCGGCTATAGCGCAGGCACAGCAGCAGCGGTGGGAATAGCCCTGGCGCAGATAGGAGAATTCTCCTTCGTCCTCCTCTCGCGAGCGCAAACGCTGAAGCTGGTGGGGCACAAGCTGTACCTGCTGCTCATGGGCACCACGGCGCTCTCCCTCGTGCTCACGCCCTTCGCCTTCAAGCTCGTGCCGCGCCTCGCCGCCATTGGCGCCCACCAGGACCGCGCTCGCCTCATGCTCAAGAACAAGAGTATGGTGTCGCCGGGAGGGGCGGGGGGAGGGGGAGGCGGGGGGAAAGGCGGTGGGGGTGGGGGAGGGATGGGTGGAGGAGGAGGGTCGGGGTTGCCTGTGAGTGTGAGTGGGGGTGGGAGTGGAGGGGGAGGAGGGGGAGGTGTGGCTGGTGGTGTGGTTGGTGGTACGTTTGGGGGTTTGCTGAACGGGGTTGCTGGCGTGCTCTCTCCTCGCTCTGCTGCTGCGGCGGCTGCTGCCGCTGCTGCTGCTGCGGGGGAAACACAGGTGCTACTAGCAGTTGATTCTGACCCTCATTCAGGGGCCAACCTGCACCACCACCACCCGTCACACAACCCCCAAGCCGTCCCTTCTCACCATCACCACCTTCCCCCAGCCCACCCTCACCATTATCCCTCGCAGCATTACGGCACAGCAACAGCAGCCCACGACTCCCTGAGACCTAGAAACCCGGCTAAAGCTGCTGATTCAGGGGGTAGAAATATTGTTAGGGCATCGGATTCTGGGGGTAGTTCGGGCTCTGGGAGTGCAAACGACTGGGGCTTATCTGAGGATTTCTTTTATGAAAGGGGCAGTGTGGAGAATCGAGGAGGCTCGGGAGCAGGTTCGGGAGGTGGCTTGGCTGGAGCAGGTTCAGGATCTGGCTCCATGGTTGCATCAGGCTCGGCAAGCGCAGGATTGACATCCCCTCCTGCCCGAAGCTTGTCTCCGACAGCTTCGGTTACACAGCGGTCTCCCAAACCTGGAACGGGGCAGGTTCGGAGAGTGGCTCAGGTGGCGGGTCTGAGCCCCCGAGGGGGCCTTGCGGTAACCAGTAACACTGGCAGCCCTATGAAGGCATTTGCTTTGCTGGGGACTGTGGAAGAGGGAGGAGGGGGGAGACGAGAGGAGCGGGAGGAGGGAGGAGGGCCATTCCAATATGCATCTAGCTCTGGGTTCTTTTCACGGTGGGGCGTTAAAGGGTCATCACACCAGCAAAAGAAGGAGATGGCACACCAGTCATGACAGTAATTTCACAGTTGCAATTGTACTACTAATAGATGCAGATTATGTATACGTATTTCTGAACATCTCATTGGGAACTGAAAAATGGAAACTGCACGTACTAGCACGAATTCCCGTATGCCCGTATGAATGGCATGTTGTGATGTCAAGGCCTGTTCAAAACTCCACTAAAAACTTACAATTATTTAACAGCAAACTTCCTTATTATACACTGAAAACGTACAATCATCTAACAAAAAAACACATTAGCTGACTGCAAATGGAAGCTCAGCAAACCCTGGTTGCCATGGCTGCTCGAGCAACAATTCCTTCACTGACATCTCAGCGATATGCAGGAATTGCGGCGTCTCTGGCGGTTCCACCCGCCATAGTGCTCCAAGTCCCCGCGCATATTCAGGACTCCACGGGAGCACATCTAACGACCGCTTCGTGGCACAATCGATACTCGCGCAAGCATACGACCAGCTTCGCACGCTTTTCCCCGGGACTCTCAATACTTGCGACTGAGCCGTCAGATCAGCTCGCACATTCAGCTCAGTGAGGCGCATCATTAGCATCAAACTCGCAGATTGCGTTGCGACGGGCAGAAACGAAGCGAATCCTCCTTGGCTTTGCAGCAAACTGCAACCCTAGCCGATTAGACTGTCGAAACCCTAGCCGATTATACTGTTCCCTTCCTTCCGCTTTCTGTAGTCACATTCGATGCTGCTGCTTTGAGGTTTACTTGGCACACGGGGCAGGTGGTCCAAACTCGCGGGTTGCGAATCTGACAAAAACAAACCGAGGCCCCACTTCTTCTGCTTCGCGGCTCTTGCTGCCGAAACCCTATCCGATCAGACTGCTCTGCTTTCCCTCCACCTCGTTATTATCCGCTTTCTATAGACACATCCAATGACGTCGCCTTGAGGTCTATTCGGCACACGGGGCACGTGGTCCTGTTGGCGAGCCAATGGTCGATGCAGCTGACGTGGAACCGGTGCTCGCAGGGCAGCAGATAGCGAAGCAGCTCACCCTCGTTAAAGTCACACAGACGCACCGTGCACTCTCTGTTCGCTGCAACCCCTCCGTGTCTCAAGTCGGTAGTACTTTGTGCTTCCAAATCGCCGACGGCGTCAATCACGGAATGTCCCGCAGCTAGTACAGCATCTGAGGGCGTACTAGTAACTTCGCTTAGTATACCCAACCGTATCATTGTTCAATTGAAGGGAATCTCTTGCGGAAGGGCAAAGGCGGTCACTGGGGGGGTGCCGATACGGTCTGATGGGGAATGTCGCGGCGAGCCGCGCCGGGTTCAACCGGGGGGGGCTGCTCGGGACTGCCACCGATGTAGTAGTCACATTCGGTACAATCTCTGTCCGGTAATAGTTCGCGCCGCTACTATACGAAGGTTGACCCAGTAGTTGGGTCCACGTGTAACGAAAGGCGCCGGGGTGGCGATATGCTAGTGTGGCAATAACGAATAGCACCACAACAAGCACCACTGCGGCTATGGCGAGGGAGAGCGGGAGCGCTTCCACCTTGGCGGCCGGTGGCGCCTCTGTCGCTCCTGCCGCGTCCGTCGGTATTCCTGGCGCTGCTGCTACCGGCGCGGGTAGGGATACCTGTGCCGTCATCATTGCCGCTGTCGCCGCCTGTATGACGCTTTTCAAGGCCTATTTTCGTCCAGGGGATTAGTAGCTTCAAATAAAATTGTCCTCGCTGCTAAAACTATCGGTAAGCACTTCATTGTGGTTTTTTTCTTTCCTTCATCCATGCAGGCGGGCGCGAGTACTAGGCCGAGCCATGTGGGTGTTCGACGATGTACAGTGGGCTTGCCTCTCCTCCACCTACACCGACTGCTGAGTAAAACGCGCGTCGTCGTTTAGTCTTGAGTGTGCAGCATTTGAACACTAAATGGGTGGACTGTGGATTTCTTGGATTCATGGGGCAAGGGGAATTTGCGCTGCTAGCAGTTGGGCAGCACGGCTAGCCGACTACGTATCCACCCACGAAGAGGTAGTGTACAGTAAAACTCTTCGCATAGCGGCAGGGAGAAAGGATACTACAAGCAGTTGCAATTTCAGGTGCATGTAGGGAGTTTTGTATTGTACTGTAAGTAGGCATTCTGTTGACCGTTGCGGGGCGGACTACAGTCAATAGCTGTTTGAGAGAATCGAAACCTGGAACGCGATAACCTCGATCGGATGAGGGAAAGTTTCAGGACCGAGAACGAGAACCCACAGCTGCTGATACACTTTATAGGCGTCCCGGTATTTCATTTTTAGTGTTCCCCCCCCCCCCATACCAATCTTGGTGGCACATGGAATTATCACATCACACTTATCAGTCAAAGTTGCTATTTCACTTCTGCATTTCAGCATGAAAGCAATTGGAACCAGCTGAAAGCTATTTTCTTGGTGGAACTTGTATGCTATTTGAACAAAACAACGGAAGAAGTATAGCCAGTCGAAGTTTCAAGGATTGCTTCCGATCTTCAAATGGTTCCCTGTAGCAACAGCAGCTCATGCCCAGCGTACGGTCTTCCCGCCGCCTTTCCCGCGAACAACCCAATGAAGCATCATCACCCACCGCTTCCTGTCCGCGCCAGGATCGCCATCTTACATTGTAGGCCCAAGCAGTTCGCGAGCTGCATGCGTTGAACGTTCCCACGCCAATTAGGCATTTGACTGGGAAGAGGTTAAATTATTTTACGCTAATCATAGGGCATCTGCCGCCACCAACTTTTCCCTGCAGCCGAATCGTAGATTGAACGGACGAAGTTCTTATTGTCTGATGTGAGAAGTCGAATTCGCGAGTCGCCAACCTCCGGAGGCTCATGAGCCGTTTCTCGTGGGAGTCGACCAAGAGACCGCATCAATTCTTTCCCCTTTCATTGTCACGCCGTCGTTTACAGTCACATCGATTGCTGTCGCTTTAAAATCTACTCGGCACACGGGGCAGGTGGTCCTATCGGCGAGCCAGTGGTCGATGCAGCTGACGTGGAACCGATGCGCGCAGGGTAGAGAGCGAACCAGCTCTCCCCCATTGAAGTCACAAATGCATACCGCACACTCCCTGCATGCTGATAATCTCCCAGACAGCGAAGCGTTCGTTAGATTCTGCGCACATCGCGTTCCCAACAGCTCAAAGGCGTATGTCGCGGTAAAACAACAACTCTCCTCCGCCGAAGAGCCTCCCGAAAGCCCCCCATTTCCTCCCCGATTTTTTTCGAGATCTGCGTTTTTTGCGGCGGCAATACCAATAAATATTTTCGCGGTAGCATGCGACGGAACGCCGCGGTCTGCCGAAGGGAGGCAATACGGTCTGACGGGAAATGATGCGAGTTGTGCCGGGTGAAGCCCTGCGGGGGTAGCGACCGGCACCGATATAGTCGCATTCGGTAATTGCTCTCCTGCGTAGTAATCCGCGTTAGTAGTCCTGGATCCGCGTCTGAGATGCTTGCACGCGCGTACTAACCCGCGGACTTTCATAGTAACGAGCCGAATTTAGTTTACGGCGCCGGGGAGGATAGGGATTGGGGAGAAGAGCTTGCCAAGAACGCTCCGGCGAAGTGCTGATGGAACCCTCGGCGCACTGCGCGGCGCAAAAGGAGTGAGTCTGGGATGGTTTGCCAAGCAGCGGTCAACCTTCAAGCGAATTGTGGCCCAATATGACTACAATCGGACTGTCGTGGGCAAGAACGAACTGAAACAGGGCTGCGTAATCAGAGCTGAGGAATCATGAGATTGCGATGGAATGAGCTCCATGTTCAAGTATTTGTGTGCTGGTTGGGTTGGAGTAGAAAACGATTTCGCTCGTGGGACTGACAAATGTCACAACTCACGACGACGAGATACACCCTGTTTCGCGCTACACTGTCATTGGCTATATGGGCCCTGTGGCTCAACGCGCCAGAGGGCGCGTTATAGTGGACTTTTGCACCAGTACGGTTTGACGTGGTTAGTTACTTTCAAAGACGGTCGTTTGAACGTTTGATATGGCTCGGTAGGGTACCCAGGATAACGAAATTGCGAATCACTCACCCCCTAGAGACGGTTATTGTAACAATTCCGAATATGTCCAAGGAACAGTTTCACTGTAGCCAGTGAATCCCGTTGCCAGTGTAGCGCAAAAGTGGGTGTAGTGTGAGTCGCATCGCGTGTTGCTGGATGGAAGAGGGGGGGAAAGAGGGTCGCGCGGGGGGACCAACGAGACGTTTGCGAAACATTTTGCACTTTGGATGCGGCTCGTCTCGTCGAGGCGACATAATCGAACTCGTTGGCGAAATATGCGATGCGTGTCTTTCAAAGTTGAAGCGAGGTCAATTTTGCTGAGTCACCTTTCCCCAGAAGTTCGATGCCGAGTCAGCGCTGGAAGATTCGGCGCTGGCAGGGCAGCAATGCGAAGCGCAAGCCACACGGATGCATATCCGCGTCACCAAGCACCACCTAGTGG